ACATCGCCATTTAACTTGACACATTCGATCGATATCTCTTGGATTGGAGCTTATTAGATGAACACATGAATGTTTCTTTTCATAAATAAGCTAAATGGTAGTAAACACCCGTGCAAACTCACATCACACTCCACCACGAATTGGAGATAATTATTTTTTTATTTTTTATTGTTTAGATGGTTGAACGAGCTCACAGCCCACCTGGTGTTAAGTGGTTACTGGAGCCCATAGACATCTACAACGTAAAAGCGCCACCCACCTTGAGATATAAGTTCTAAGGTCTCAAGTATAGTTACAACGGCTGCCCCACCCTTCAAACCGAAACGCATTACTGCTTCACGGCAGAAATAAGCAGGGTGGTGGTACCTACCCGCGCGGACTCACAAGAGGTCCTACCACCAGTAAATCCACCAGTAAGTAATAAGATAATTTGTGAGTTTTAATTATTGCGCGGTATAATTCGTTATGCGATGCTATTCTTTCATCATTGGAATCCTTCGTGAGCACGTGTTATTATAAATTCTATTTATTACAATAAAAGTACCCGCTGCATGAACAATACACAGTTAACATAAATAAATATGATTATAAATCATTTTTTTATTTTCTTCTCAATACATTCGATTTGGTCTTTGTTGGTAAATAGAGTTTACATATCGCATGTAAATCGCATCAAATACCTGTATTTTTTAAATTAAAATGCAGATTTGATTTCAGGTTCCGAATTAATTTATACACCTTCTTAAATAACATTAACATTTAATCTAATTTATGGATATTATTGTAGCTATAAAATAATTGTTTAAGAAAACGTACTGATTCTCCTTCTTTAAATGTTTTTTTTTTATATTCTGACGAAAATCAGCGAATGTTGCCATGAGCCATATATGTACATAGAAAAAGTATAGAGAGTCTCTTAAACTACACATTTTTGGGTTGACTAAATCGAAATAAAAAAAGCTATTTAAAATTATGTACTTAATTTGAAAAAAGATTCCAAAGTTTATTTTTTATTTATTTATTTATTTTTATTATACACAAAAAGAAAATACAATAAAAACAGATTTAAAGAATGTCTAAATACTATGTACAAAGGCGAGCTTAACTCATTCATGAGTTTTCTTCCAGCAAACCATTAGCAGAGAGAAATACGATGTATAGGTATAATGTTTATCAACAGTAGTCGACCAATAAAATTAAATGTCTTTATCTAATGATAAATTACGATTCTTAAGACTGGACCTTAACATGTAATGGAAGATTTCGCGCGGCACACTTGTCTCGTGTGGACATTTTATTTCCATAAATGATCGCAACATGTGCTGCACCTTGTTAATTATTTACATAAAAAGCAGTAGCTTTGAATTAAGGCACGCGTTTAGTGTAAATGATAAGTTTGGGTACATTTCGTGAAGAAAGTCGTTGTAAATGAAGAAACAGCACTATGTTTTTTAAATAGGTTGTTGGTAGAATAAACATCCACAACGAAGTATGGAAATGAATAACTAATGTTTTACCCATTATCATACGTTTTGAAACTAAGGTAATCAATCAAAGCATCTGATAATATTTACTATGATGCTACTCGATTATAAAGAACCTCACAAATGTCTATGATTACAATATAATAATAAATTATTTTATACCAGGTATGTACCTGTTATTAAAAGCTCCGATCTAACGAACGATAAAAATAATACATAGATCAATAATAAAAGGCTCAGAATACGAATATAGTTCTATACTTACCACCTTCTTTCTCAATTTGGCTTCGGGAACTGTTGCTTAGCAACGTGGATTTATATATTACTAGGTGACCAAGCAAACGTTGTTTTGCCATATAATTTATTTATAGGAAAGATAAATAATTTAAATACCGTCGGTAGTGCCATCTGCCGGGCTGATTCGTGAATCTAAACCATCCAGGGCGCCACCCAATTGCATACCAAAAAAATCGTTCAAATCAGTCCAGCCGTTTAGGAGTAAATCAGTGACAAAAACACGCACTGAAGAAATATATATATATATATAAAGATAAATGAACAATATGTACCTTTTTCGATATTTCTGGCCCCCAATAAAGGCGTCCGTTCCGTTGTCGAACCACTTATTCCAAAAGACGGCGGATCTAAGCTATTTCTGGACGCAAACAGTTTTACAATACCAGCAGCATTTATCATATTAGATCACAATGATTCCAATACAACACATTAAATTAGAATTTCAAATTTTTTAATGCACTGAGAACCGATTTTGTTCACATAAGTAGAAGCGTGTGAACACTTTACAAAGATTGGTACCGCACTGATATTGAGTTCAGGAACTGCTTGACAATTTGTGCTTAATCTAATTGAGTGATAACAGGACATTATGGACTGTAGAGTCAATATTACCGGCAGATCAAAGCCCATTTATATTTATTGTTTTAAGATAATTGAGTAATTTCGTTGATTGCTAATTACAACAAACAAGAGAAGTGTTCCAAGATTTTAATTGTAGGTAGGTACACTTTTATGTATGTATACAATGTTACAACACACAAACATTTTGCATTGAAATAACGGATATAATTCATTGTCTCATCAAATAAGGCATAATAGCGAAGCTAAGCTAATTTTGATGTTCATCTTTAAAAGCAGCATGAGAAGAAAATTTGTTAAAAATAGTTCTCAAGTGTTACAATTTACCATTACTATCTCTCTGCCAAACACTTCCTGTCCCCGACATGAAATCCCTAATTTTATTGGCAGTAAGTACCTATATCATATTATAAGCTAACACGAATGGCCGTCTAAAATCTGCCTATCTTTGTCGTAAAGCATTAATACGTTTTGGTCTAAGCTGTAGGATAGCCGTATTATAATACAAATTAGAAATGAGATTTCTACTTCTTATTTTAAGGCAGGCTGTAAGATTCACTTTATAATATACCTATAGACTCCAGTAATCACACAATATCGAATGAAATAAAATAAGACAGAAAGTAAAAGTAAATTTCCGTTGTGACGACTGTTTGCTGGAAAAACACTGACCATCGATCGTTCGTAAACAAGCAGTGAGGATACACCGGATAACGTTATTGGATTATTAATTCAATAACGCATCTACATTACCTGTGTGAATAAACACTTCCAAAGACTCCATCAAAAGGTCAGAGAGTTGTTAATGATTATTATACATACATTACTTGATTTTGAAATGCAATCTAAAATATTAAGTATATTGAACAGTACTTTGAGTGACTGAACCTCAACCCAGCGTTAGGATTCCGCTATTTGAAGGAAATATAGCCGAACCTCTTTAGAACATAGTATTTTAAGGATGTTTTTTTTAATAATATGAATTATATATTATATATTAATAATTTACTAATAATATGAAAGGAGATTCTACTTTAAAAAAAATTATAATATCGTGTGTTCCATTATTTTCAATTTATGTAATTACTTATTTTTAGACAAACCTAAATTGTATCTTGGTAATAAGGTATGGAACTTAGATACATACGTACGGTCAGTGCATTATTCGCTCACGCGACCCGTATCCACGTAAACACCCTCTAAACACCGCTTTTGCAGGATAGCCATTGGAGCATATTGGCATATGAGGAATATAGATCTTCATGATGTATTAGAGCCAGAAACAATCAGTAAATATCTGAAGACAGTGTCAGAACGTTTCTTTTTTTTCCTACCTAAGCTAGAGGCTATGTCAGCGGAACCGGGCGACCAGGTGAGCTCAAATCGGGAGTGTTGCTAACACTGGCCCCAGCAAGAGCAACGCTTTGCAGAATCTACCATCGGATCGGAAACGCGACCTACTGAGAAGATTCGGCGAGAAACTCAGTGGGCTAACGCTTCCTTGAGAAAGCAACACAGCATGAAAAACCCCTTATTGTAGCCGCCACAAGTTCCCAGACGAAGGGAGGCAACAAACAACCGCCGTCACCCTACACATGACTTTTCGGATCCTCAGGATCTACTCACGGTGCTCTTAGGCATTCCAGACACCGGCCACGTTCTCGTCGTACTCGTCAACTGCGACCAAGAGTTCGACGTGCAACTTGACCCATAGACAGTAAATGTTATGAATAAACCTCCTACTTAACCTCAGAATGACGACAGGAGCCTAAGTTTTAGTAAGAGAATAAAATATTTTAACAATAAAAACCCTAGGAGCACTTGGTAGTAATGCCTAATGTAATAACAATGCACACAAGGGGTCAATTTCAGTAAAATGACACGGTTTGTCTCGATTTAACATTCAATATGAATGAGCGCAAAAATGGCTACTCCTCTATATAATTCAAAAGAAAATCTTTTATCTATTTGCTTCAATTTGATAGAATATCTATAAAGCAGTAACTTTGCTTCATTTCGTATTTCACTGTAGGTCTGTCATTTTAAGTATCTAATACGCCTTAGCGACACCAGTAGACATGAAATTGTTTTTGTGGATATTCTTATGTTTTTCTATTAATTTTGCCGAAATAATTTATCCAGCTGAGCTTTTAATGCTTTCTGATGTTATCCATAACGTAAAAAAAACAAATGTACTAAGTTCAATACTGTGTTGGCAACTAAGTAAGATGTACACCTTTTGAAATTGTTTTTAAGTGTTATTAAAAATGATATATTAATTAAATTGCTATTATACTCTGTAATTATTTGTGAGGATTTAAATGAAATTGCGTAAAGAGAGGTTCTGGGTGAAGCTTTTGACAGATTAGCTTAATGTTTGCAGATGTACAAATTAAACTGTACTCAATGCTAAAGAGAAATGGTAGTGAAGGTATTTTTATACAATCAATGGATGATATTATAATGGATTATGATAAGTTAAAATTTGATCATCAAGAACATCAGATTTTATTATTGGTGGATTTGAGATGCCTCAATCAGAGTAAGAATATGGCAAAGGTACTTAATAAGTAATACAAAATAAATATTGGAATTCATTTAAGATAGCACTGTTTAAATCATGACGATTTCTACAGATAACTGATCTTCTACAATCCGGTGCAGCGTTTCGATGGATCTTTATTAGTCACACTGAAATCGAAAACCTCATTCCACCAGAAAACACAATAATGAGAATGAACATTTTACCGAATACCGAGGCTTTGTTTATTCAAAGAACAGATAATAGATGCTACGAAATCAGTATGGGTATTTAAACAAAAAAATTATAATCATATGTATTCAGAACTTTTAATTTAGTAGGTAACTAAACTTATCGTTTTCTTTTATTGTGATTATAGTTTACAAAATCGGAAACGAGACTGCATGGAAAACAGAAAAGTACGCTTATTGGAATGTAAGCGGAGGTTTTCAGAAAAATACCAACATTAATGAAGTTACAGCTGTAAGGAGACTTGATTTGGAAGGATACGAGATAAAAATTTGTTACGTTTTAACGGACAATGATAGTATTCATCATTTGAGTGATGAAGTGTATGTAAGACGACAATTTAATAGACTTTAAACTAGGATATTGTGTTAATATAGTTGCGTGCCTTAAATTTCATTGCCGTAGGTTCATTGTGAAGGAATTTACGTGCCACATAATTTGAACTTCTTTGAATTATTCTAAAAATATAAACTTAAAAAAAACTTTAACGGACTAAATCACTGATAAAAGTTTTCTTAATTTTATTTCCTTTTCTTATTTTTTTCTATTGTTTTCTTAATTTTATTTCTTACAAAAGCCTATGATTTTAATTTAAGGAATGATCATATTGATACGATAACTAAGGTCAATTTCCCAAGCACCAACCATCTGTTAGACTTTCTGAATGCTGAACGAAAATATGTTTTTGTTAATACGTGGGGCTATCGAATTAACGGCACTTGGAATGGACTAACTGGATTTTTGGTAAACGGCGATGTTGAAATTGGAGGTATGAAAATTAAAATAGAAAAAAAAACAGTTTTCTATTCCCCTTAAACAATTTTTTTTTATTGCTTAGATGGGTGGACGATCTCACAGCCCACCTGGTGTTAAGTGGTTAGTGGAGTCCATAGACATCTACAACTTAAATGCGCCACCCACCTTGAGATATAAGTTCTAAGGTTTCAGTAAAGTTACAATGGCTACCCCACCCTTCAAACCGAAACGCATTACTGCTTCACGGCAGAAATAGGCGAGTGGTGGTACATACCTGTGCGGACTCACAAGAGGTCCTACCACCAGTAAACTAACTAATATTAGCTTAATAACACAGATCCTTCCACAAAATAATACATGGAATGAAAGTATAAGAGAGAATAGCAATAAAAAAAACTTAGTAATAATAATACCATGACATCTATTGCGTAGTAAACATTACAAACCAAACTGTGAAATAAAATAAAACTATGAATAATATTTTGATTTCAGGGTCACCGATGTTTTTCACGGCAGAACGTACAGCAGTAGTCGATTTCATTTCGAGTCCTACACCAACTCGCTCGAAATTTGTATTTCAACAACCAAAGTTGTCGTATGAAAATAATTTATTTTTACTTTCATTTCGTACAGCCGTCTGGTATAGCACTCTAGCGTTAATCTCCTTAATATTCACAATGTTGCTGGCCGTTACAGCTTGGGAATGGAAGAAGATGTCCCAAATGGAAACGGTAAATGACATGACTTTATTTTTGAGTTTTACCGCAACCATTTTTTTATGAAATCTTTTCTTCAGAGGAATTTAGATGCTGGCGTACTTAGGCCGAGCATTACAGATGTTACCATGCTAGTCTTTGGTGCTACTTGCCAACAAGGAAGTACCGTTGAATTAAAAGGTAATCATATAACAAAAGAAAAACACTTTAACGCATACTCAGTAATCATAAAACAAAAACAAAATACTGTTAACGCACACTAATCAAATTTTTAATATCTAATATGGTTCTCACCTTTTTTCTCTTTACTTTTTATAGGCTCGCTCGGTCGTGTTGTAATGTTAATTCTTTTCCTGACCCTTATGTTCCTGTACACTTCATATTCAGCAAATATCGTTGCTTTACTTCAGTCCAGTTCATCCCAAATTAAAACACTGGAAGACCTTCTGCATTCCCGATTGAAATTCGGTGTACACGACACAGTTTTCAATAGATATTACTTTTCAGTAAGTAGTTATTATTGTAATTTTTGTTCTTTTAATGACCATTGAAATGTTCGATTAAATACATAAAAAAAAAACAATTGGTACTCCCTAATTAGAATATGAACACTATTCTTGTAGGCTGCAGATGAACCTGTTAGGAAAGCAATATATGAAAAGAAAATTGCACCCCTAGGTGTTGCACCTCAGTTTATGTCTATGGAAGAAGGTGTTAAGAAGATGCGTAAGGTAAAATAAATCTGCTTCCTATGTAGCTATTAGTAATAAGTCAGTTATTAAAATGTTAGAAATATGCCATGGACTTAAACGGCGATTTGAAAGAAATGGAAAACCCGTCCATTTCAAAGATCTGTTCCCAATGTATAGTGCATTTTCCGAAACAGTAAAAAAATCCTAAATGTGTCATCATCACTAATTGAATTGAGTCTGGAAAAATCTAGATAGCCAAAATAAAATACAGTACATCACATTCGTACTCACATTTCCACCAAAAACTCCAAAACATCAACTGCAGTCTCTTCGAGCATTAGTATATTATGATTTTTTTACGGTAGAAGTAGACAGGGGTGTTACCCAAGCTCAAAATATACCATACCACTAGTGTACTAAAGCTATTCTACGTACCACTGAAGGACGTTTTAATTTTTCTACGAAAGATGTGTTTAAACAGGAAATACCATTACAGAGCAATAGGTATTCCTCAAAATTAAAGCAACCTGCACCGAAAAATTACATTTGCCTACAATTTAAAATAACAACGTCCGACAAATATTTGACAACGATTACATAAAAGTTAATTCTCAATTCAATTCCCTTAAATCCTGTATATCAAGTAAATTTTGAAAGATTTATTAATAATTAAAAAACATCTGTCAATATAGTATCGGAAAAAACACAAGTTGCAAAGTTAAAGATGCCGTAGTTACTAGGAGGATGTGGAAGACAAATAGTACATAGATGAAGAGTAGGATAGATGTTCAACTAAGACTTTAAGCCAATAGTTTCAACATTGCTTCAACAGTACAGTTCAAGTTATTCTGCCGCTTCATTAAACTTATATATAACAACTAGCGACCCGCCCTCGCTTCGCTTCGGAAACTGTAATTTATTATTGATTTCTCCAGTATTTAATGGATGTTATTACCATTGACATATAAACCTTCCTCTTCAATCACTCTATCTATTAAAAAAAACGCATCAAAATCCGTTGCGTAGTTTTAAAGATTTAAGCATACATAGGGACAGATATAGGGACAGAGAAAGCGACTTTGTTTTATACTATGTAGTGATGGATGAGGCGTGAGCTCGTTCTGCCACCAAAATTAAAGGACGAATAAGTTAAAGAATATTCATGTAAATAATAGGAACGCGCACTTCTGTAGTTCGTATTCTACATTTACATCTATTTTTATACTGTACAGAGGAAATTAAAGGGGTATAATATTTATTTTAAAGGGTCTGTTCGCATTCCATATGGAAACAGGAGTTGGATATAAATTCGTTGGAAAATATTTCAAAGAAAGCGAAAAATGTGGCTTAAAGGAAATACAATACTTACAAGTCATAGATCCGTGGTTAGCTGTCCGCAAGAACACACCGTACAAGGAAATGTTCAAAATTGGGTAATTTGTCGAATTTAAATCTACTGTCTGCTACCTGTCTATGATGGATATTTTTTGAATTTAAATGAGCTTTAATGATTCAGGATATTTTTTTAGAATGAAACGCATCCAAGAGCACGGTCTGCAGAACCGCGAAAACAGATTACTTTACGAAAAACGACCTAAGTGCTCGGGCAGAGAATCCAATTTTGTTTCCGTGAGCATGGTGGATTGCTATCCAGCGTTACTTGTTCTTTCATATGGAATTATCATAGCCATAGCGCTTGTTATAATGGAAAACTTATGGCAATATCGACATCTTATCAAAGGAAAGCTAGAATTTTCCTCTTCTGTGAATACTATTGAGAATTTAAATCAATTTGAAAAACACCCATCGCATAATTGGAAGAAATTTTATGTAATAGACAGTGCAAAAATAAAAAAAATAACTAATTAAATTCAACAACCTCGATTTTAACCACTCCTATGATTATTACAAAGCAAATTGCACAACACAAGCCATAATCACTTTGAATTAGTAATTGTACTAGGTATAAAAGTAGATACATCGTCAGTCATATAGCCAATGATAGTCACTGCTTTTTCTGGAGTCATCATGAACATTTTGGCTATAGTTCTAAACATTTTTCTATTCGATTTTCATTATTCCGAATCTACCAAACATGCTGATATTAATCTAATCAAAGATGTTATTGAATCTTACGATAGGCCCACATCGGTTTATGCAAAACTTTGCTGGGAAACTTGTAAGTAAATTTATCCTTTTTTTATTACTTAGTTGGGTGGACGAGCTCACAGCCCACCTGATGTTAAGTGGTTACTGGAGCCCATAGACATCTACAACGTAAAATGCACCACCCACCTTGAGATATAAGTCCTAAGGTCTCAGTACAGTTAAAAGGGCTGCGCCACCCTTTAAACCGAAATGCATTACTGCTTCAGGGCAGAAGTAGGCGGGGTAGTGGTACCTACCAGTGAAGATGCTAAATTAAATACAATTTTACAATTAAAATCTTATCTACTGTAAAATGTTTTTTCAGCATGGCTAATAGATCTGGCAAATGAAATTTTTAAAATTAAAAATCCCGTAGCTATAACGTTTGGAAAAATCGGTGACGTTGAAGAAGTCACACCCAGCAACCACATATTGTTTCTCATTGATACTACCTGTAATAACAGTCACATTGTCCTACAAGAGGTATTTATTATTCCATGATGTACATATTTTTATAATAATTCATTTTACGAGGAAAACGACTACCTACTTAACTTCAACTTCCTTTATAGGCTGATGCGCATCAACAATTTAGAAGATCGTACAGATGGTTAGTACTTGAAACACAAGGAAGCGGATATAATTCTAAATTGCTTGAAATAGAACCTCTGAATATTTTAATTGACTCCGATGTTTTATTAGCCACTAAAATAGAAAATGTCACATATGTGTTAAAAAAAAGTAGGTATATCTAAATTAAATAATTGTAAACAATATTCACGAGTACTTAAGAAATCTAATAAATTTTACTAATATTGCAGTTTACAAAATTTCGACCCAGTCTGAGTGGATCACAGAAGATTACGGCAACTGGACAGCCGAGCATGGATTAATCATGTCAAATATTATAATTTATGATGCTTCAAGACGAAGAAACATTAGAGGCCATCCTGTTACAACTTCTATCATAGTAACTGAGAATAGAACGAAATCGGAACTTGATGATTTAAAGTGAGTTGTTAATATAAATGAGCAGGTGGTCGGAATGACCCTTCTGGTAAATCATTATGGGAGCCCATAGATATCATGACCACTCTATCAAGAGTAAAGCAATTGAGAAGAAGAACCACTAACAATATCAATATTACGAATACTACTAGTAATCTTTCATCCAGACACATTTATTTTTTAGGAATTTATTGTTTGACAGTCTCGCAAAAATTTGTTTTCGTCACACCAAAAATCTTTGTCAATTTATGAACGCGTCGCATAAAATAGTTTTTGCTTCTATGTGGGGTTATAAAACAAACGGAACTTGGAATGGCATGATGGGTGATCTAGCTAAAGGAACAGTCGATTTTGGAGGTATCTATCTAAATTTAAATTGAAATCAAACGCTTAAATTTAGAATTATTTGTAAAACGGTTTTATTAGCTTGGCAATTGTTTTTTTTTTCTGTATGTGACGAAATCTCGCAAATTTATATTCAAGGACTTCAAGAGGTCTAATTAAATTAAAAATTTACACACGCACGAAGAACTCATGACATCACAGCAAAAAAAGGGATGAAACAAATTGATGGTTTTGTTAAGCGTGTTTTCTTCTTCTTCTTTTCTTTTTCTCCACCTTGTCCCACTATGTGGGGTCGGCACAGCTAATTTTTCTCTTTCATTCTTATATCAACCTTCATTTCAACACTCACTTGTCTCTCTCTCTCATATCGTCATTCACACACTACATCCATGTTTTTTCGGTCGACCTCTTCCCCCTCTACCTTGCACTACCATTTCCATACATCTCCTAGTCACATGCATCTTATCTCTACGCATCACATGTCCAAACCACGCTAACCGTCCGCTCTTAAATTATAAGCGTGTTTTCGTTTTTAAGCAACTTATTATGTCAAAAATCATTTTGGTAATAAGAGTATGCAATTTGAATATTGAAGGATCGCAATTTTGTTTCTTATTATCTGATTTAATTATTAAAATGTTCACAGGCACAATAGCATTCCTCACTAGTCAGCGATTGCAAGTCGTGGATTATTTATCGTCCCCTGTACCAATAAACGCGAAATTCGTCTTCAGGGAGCCTCCGCTATCTTACCAGAACAATTTGTTTATCTTGCCTTACAAAGCAAATGTGTGGTACTCCACAGCTGCATTTGTTGTTTTACTAGTAATAATTCTCTATATTAACGCCAAATGGGAAATTAAAAAAGCCGAGTATGAGCAAGCTGTGAGTACCTAGTTCCTTTTACTTAATACAGATAAATTGTCAGCTAACTAATCGCTCCTAAACAAAACTTACTTATGTTAAGGGAATCAATAAAACAGCTTTACAACCCAGCGTGAGTGATGTAACAATCTTAGTGATCAGCGCTATTTCTCAACAAGGTAGCTCTAATGAATTGAAAGGTTAGTCATAACAACTATTTAAACTTTATTATTTTTTCAACAAAATTAAAAATTTATATTCTTTTACAGGTACACTAGGACGGGCTGTTCTTTTCTTACTATTTCTTACTTTCTTATTCCTTTATATATCGTACTCAGCAAATATCGTAGCATTATTACAATCAAACTCCAAACAAATACGCACGTTGCAAGACCTACTAAATTCTAAACTAGAACTTGGCGTTGAAGACATAGTATACAACAGATATTACTTTTCTGTAATAGTTTTTTAATGCATACAGATAATCAAGTTATTTTTAATATTCAAGAGTTTAAACATCCGACGGGAAAATCTTATTTCAGACCGCCACTGAACCAATTAGAAAGGCTATTTATGAAACCAAAGTGGCGCCAAAGGGATCGAAAGCTAACTTTATGAGTATCGAGGAAGGAGTAAAAAAATTACAAAAGGTGATTAATATTTTTATTTCATTAAAAATCAGACTGTTTTGTTTTTTCAAGTAGGCCTTTTACTTTCAAATCGACATATGTATAGCTTCATAAAAAACCATAATGAATTGAAAGAATAGCTTTAAGATTAAAATAAATACTGTTTTAGAGCCCATTTGCTTTTAACATGAATATCGGAACTGGATACAAAATCATAGAACGATATTTTGAAGAACATGAAAAATGTGGATTACAAGAAATCAATTACATTGAATCCAGCATACCGTGGATGTCTTGCCGAAAAAATTCGCCATTTAGGGAGATCTACAAACTAGGGTACGTTTATTAAAAAATATTCAATCTCAAATAAAGTTTATATATTTGTACTTCATGTATTAGTTATGATGTATTCAATACGTAATCAAAGCGTTCAGACTATTATAAGTACTAGTACTAATATTTACTAAGTAAGTAAGTACTAGTATTTTGAAGTTTCAAGGATAAGTAAATATTTGATTTTCATGGAAATTGGTAGGTACGTCGTCTTACTATACTTACGTGCCTTTAGTTAATATAACAGCTTCTACTTTTCCAGTTTATTTAAACTCCAAGAACATGGTATTACTGATCGCGAGAATCGTTTATTGTTTGCCAGAAAACCAGTTTGCATCGTCCGAGGTGGTAACGTAGGGTCAGTCAACATGGTTGATGTTTATCCCGTGATTTTGATGTTTTTATATGGACTGTTCCTGGCCTTCTTAATACTGCTCGTCGAAATTGTGGTTCACCGAAAACTCAGTAAAGTAATCGTCGTTTAAGTAGTGTATTTTATTTAACTAAAATACTAATTTTTGGCTGCAAATACTATAACAAATAAAAAAACATAATTTATTTTTTAGTGTATTAAAATAAAAATATCGTGTATTTTTTATTTATTTTAAGAAGTAAAAAATTCTCAATAATAGGTCTATAATAGCAGTATATAATATATATAATAGGTTCTCAATAATACAATACTCAAAAATCTCACTTTTAAAACATTTACTTTTTGGCATGATTGACCTGGGTGAAACTCAAAAAATAAATAGTAAGTAATGATTTTTATTTCAATTGAAAATTGGACTTCATCCAGGCTTGATNATTTATTTTAAGAAGTAAAAAATTCTCAATAATAGGTCTATAATAGCAGTATATAATATATATAATAGGTTCTCAATAATACAATACTCAAAAATCTCACTTTTAAAACATTTACTTTTTGGCATGATTGACCTGGGTGAAACTCAAAAAATAAATAGTAAGTAATGATTTTTATTTCAATTGAAAATTGGACTTCATCCAGGCTTGATAAACTCTTTTGACTATTTATTGTACCTTATATTAAAGAGCATGGCTGATCAAAATATCCAAATCCGTGTCTGTTAGCAGTCAGAGGGTTTAAAAATCTGCATTAAAGCCAAAGGTGTACATTTCGGATAAATTGTTTTTTAATTATTGTTTGCATTTCTAGAATACATTTACGTTGTATTCTTATTTAAAAAAATATAATAATGCTTGAGTTGTAACAGAACTTCTGAGATTATATTAGAAATAGATCGAAAAATATACTAGGTAATGTTAGTATTATACTAGGTAGGTAACGTAGATCTATAAGCATACCAACATGGCGGTGGATGTTTTATGAACTCTTAAAGGTTAATACTACTTTCCTACCTATAACTGCGACATAGCAATCACGATTTACCAGAAGAATAGAATAGCCGCTCGAATATAATTGGACTTCAACCTCATGGAGGACGGCGACGGCTCACGTTGTGGCTGCAACGAGCTTTATATACATTTTACAAACAGGTCAACCATGTGCTGTTTATTTAGATGTAGATGTGGAATGTAGCATGTAACACTAAATTTTTTTGCACATTAAAAAAATAACCACCTGTACTACTTTCGTAACAATAAAGTATGGAAACCTAAAATCAACCCCATTGTTTTATTTGCCGTTATTTTCAATGGTTAATAATTCACAATAATTTAAGAGATTTAACTTACTCGCTAATTTTATTGTACACATAGTCTGGTCATAAAGCTTGGAACAATAAAATAAAAACATTTACATTTAAATTTAGCACCTTTAGCAATTTAGCACCATTCTCATACGAATATTCATTGAGTTTTCTCATTATCGTGCCAATCTATACTAAAATAAATTCTTGTGAAACTAAGATGGGGCGGGCTAAGAATGTTTGGAGAGATATACGACAAAGGGAAGATCTTCCACCGAGCGGGTGATATTTGGTCGGTAGACCGACGGTCCAGATGTTGTTGTTCGGAACTTGCATATATGCAAGCTTATCTTCAAAATGTCGTAAGCGAGATTCAGGCATCTGTCAACTAGGTATCTTGCGTTGTATGATGGCTACCCGCCACATCACTCCCCTCCGAGACCGGAGGTCGTGTCATTTTAGTTATCGTTGTCCGTGCTGAGATTAGCTTGCAAGTGCCAGTGCTGCTCGAAGTTTGCAGTGAGTCGAAACTGAGCTTGAATGCTGCGTGATTGTCGCCAGTGCTGCTCGAAGTCTGCGGTGAGTCGAGACTGAGCTTGAATGCTGCGCGTGTATCGTGAGTAGTCCATGTTTGCAGAGCTGTCACGCCGGAGATGTGTGACCCCAAGCGTTGATGATCCGGTCGTGGGCTGCGATGAACTGTAGTGTCGTGATGAGGCAGTGAAGTTGCGTGCCGTAGGGCCAGGAAGCGCGTTGAGTCGGCTGCGATGGTCCTGTTGAGGCTTCGATGCTGGCTTGCTGTGGGATGACTGTCAATGACTTGCTTTTTATCTGCGAGAATGCGGGAATTGTGGTAGCCGAAGTTCTTGATGCGTTGATGATGAAGTGTGAAGGCTGCAATTGTTCCGTCGCACGTCACCAGTTGTAAGAGATATACGACAAAGGCAAGATCTTCCACCGAGCGGTTGATATTTGCTCGGTAGACCGACGGTCCAGATGTTGTTGTTCAGAACTTGCATATATGCAAGCTTATCTTGAAAATGTCGTAAGCGAGATTCACGCATCTGTCAATTATCTTGCGTTGTATGATGGCTACCCGCCACAAATGCAATGAATTTGTTGTGATATTATTACATATAGTCATCAATATATATGCATATAGTAAATAAGAAATCATATCCATTTTTTTAAACTATCTATTAATTTCCCTCCAAGGTATTTTCGGAGCGCTTTCAACAAGCTCAAAAGCCAAAGTTAGAGAGCGGTCATTCTGTGCCCCGCCATTCATGACGTCCATGAGCGACAATGATGATCTCTTACCATCAGGTGAATCCTATTCTGGTCTGCCAATAAAGGCAGCAAAATAAAAAAGCGAAGGAAGGTCATAAAAAATGTCCGGAAGATTACGCAGAAATGCTTATTGTGATGTGATCATGATTAGCAATGATGAATTTTGCCATGCATATTGAGCGTGTTTGAATCAATAACTAGCCACTGCGCTTAAAGGATATTATTACGGTCAATGGACTTGAATATGAATGGTTTCCATATTTTTAAAATGCTTCAATGCTAACTGTTATTCACTCATCATCATCATCATCATCATCATCAGCCCACATTCGTCCACTGCTGGACATAGGCCTCTCCCAATCCACACCACTGAGCCCGGTTTTCGGCTCTCCTGATCGACTTCTTGCCGGCCACCTTTCGGGGGTCATCGCACTAACTAGCCAGGGGCGTCCGTTGCGTTTTCCGCTGCGCGGTCTCCACTCGGGTGCCCGTCTACTCGAGCAACCGTCAGTTCTACGGCATATATGGCCAGCCCACTGTCAATACAGCTTGCTGAGTCATTGAGCTATGTCGATGACTTAAGTTCTCTGTAAAATAGCCTCATTCCTGATTTTATCCTTCAGAGAAACTCCGAGCATGGCTTTTTCCATGACTCGCTGAGCGAGTATAAACGTTTCATGTATTATGTAATGTTCTACCAAGTATGCACTAATAACTTATAATAATCTACCAAGTCTTACCGATTACTTTTCAATTAACCTGCATTTCTAAAGGCTTTCTCGTTGTTACCTAACGAACGAGCTCTGTAGCCAAACAGTCTGCGCTGTCCGTTAACTGTACAAACCGGTATTGAATGAGATACACACTGATTCAAGTGCTTATCACTGTTTCTCAGCAGAGACGTAATTACTGTAATTAGTATGTTAGTGTGAAACTACGCTAGGGGCTCTTTCAATATAAATGCAAATCACTTAATAGAAAATATTCACCGAAGTTTTTTTTTTTTTCATACAGTATAGAGCCCATTTTAATAGTAAATACAAACACACATAATGCAATTAATCATTTTTATAGTTTGTAATAGACGTTAGGTTTGCCATTTAAGTTGTTGACCATTTTGATTCGACGTAGGTCTGACGCTTGCTATACTTTTTTTGCTTAAATTGATGTATGTGGTCACGACTCATCTGATTTTAAGTGGTTACCGCAAATGTATTTGAATGGTCATAGATATAAATTCGTGGATGTCGTTCGAGGACACGTTTCAGGTACATACTATGTCTTCAGACAACCACGTCCGGTGAAGCTAGCATATACATCACTACATAGTATAAAACAAAGTCGCTTTCTCTGTCCCTATATCCCTATGTATGCTTAAATCTAAAAAACTTCGCAACGGATTTTGATGCGGTTTTTTTTATAGAGTGATTGAAGAGGAAGGTTTATATGTATAATAACATGCATTAAATAGTGGAGAAATCAATAATAAATTACAGTTTCCGAAGCGAAGCGAGGGTGGGTCGCTAGTATATGTATATACCCCTCGAGGTACCCCATAGGAAGGCACAATTTTTTTTTGACAAATCGTCGAGCTATTGATGAACTGGATATTAACTCATAAAAAGTATTAAATTCAAAATGTCGTGAAAAACTTCGCATAAAGAAGACGACAGCCTTATATACCACCATTCTGGCCAAATCTAGTCCCAATCAATTAGGATTTTTCCAACTATATTGAATAACACGTGTAGTATCCCATAAAGTATTTGCTATATAAAGAGAAAGATCCTTTAAAGTCCAAAACCAAATTACTCTATCACGATAGCGTAAAAAAATTGCAAAAACAAATGGCCAATATTCAATTTTCCGGCTTAATTACTACTAGATGATGACCTTTTTTTTTTTTCGGGTAGAGGGCCGAACCTCCTACGAGGTCCCCGCGCAAAAGGGGCGCGCGGGGTATGTGAGACTCAACGATCTGCATGGTGTTGTGAGCAGATCGCGGGCCCAAGGATTTTAGGGCCCACCCACTAAACAACTCCCCTGCACTCTTACACCCGACGCCCGATCCCCTCCGAGGTCAGAACCCGGATGAGGTAGGGGGGCTACCGCGGTCAACACTACAACCAGACGGCGCAGCTCACCCCAAGGACGCCCAGCCGACGGAGCCTTCGAGGCGAATCGAAGGCTCTGAAACGTCGGCCGTCTCGGTACGGCAGCCCGTCGGGCCGCCCAAACGGTGCCGCTGGGGTCCCGGAATACCCCGCTGGACCAGAACCAGCCTGCCGGGTCGGGAAGCGATACAGGTCGGGACGCGATACAACTAGATGAGCTCCACACGGATTTCCTCCCGGATTAGAAGGAGGAATCTCACACCCCCGATTACTCTTTTTAGACAACCCATACCTTGGGCCAGGAAGGTCAAGTACCTGGGCGTTACCCTGGATGCAACGATGACATTCCGCCCGCATATAAAATCAGTCCGTGACCGTGCCGCGTTTATTCTCGGTAGACTCTACCCTATGATCTGTAAGCGAAGTAATATGTCCCTTCGGAACATGGTGACACTTTACAAAACTTGCATAAGGCCCGTCATGACTTACGCGAGTGTGGTGTTCGCTCACGCGGCCCGCACACACACAGACACCCTCCAATCTCTGCAATCCCGCTTTTGCAGGTTAGCCGTTGGAGCTCCGTGGTTCGTGAGGAACGTTGACCTACACGACGACCTGGGCCTCGAATCTATCCAGAAATACATGAAGTCAGCGTCGGAACGGTACTTCGATAAGGCTATGCGTCATGATAATCGCCTTATCGTTGCCGCCGCTGACTACTCCCCTAATCCTGATCACGCAGGAGCCAGTCACCGTCGACGCCCTAGACACGTCCTTACGGATCCATCAGATCCAATAACCTTTGCATTAGACGCCTTCAGCTCTAACACTAGGAGCAGGCTTAGGGACCTCGGTAACCGTACTCGTCGAACTCGACAAAGAGTTCGCCGTGCAGCCTAGCCCATGAATCAGCTCGCTGAGTTTCTCGCCGGATCTTCTCAGCGGGTCGCGATTCCGATCCGGTAGTAGATTCATTCGCGAAGCAGCTACTCTTGAGCTGTTAGGTCTCCTTCGGAGGCGCTCGGGTAGCTGTTAGCAAATTCCACCCCTCCTAGCTGAGCCTTTGCTCGCCCACCTCTCCTGGTGAAACTGGAAAGGCCTCCGGGCCACCAGTAATCCTTCAATCATAAAAAAAAACAACTAGATGATGACCTACTAGATGATTTTTTTTGATAACGCCATCTAGTTGTGTCTTTTAGCGGTTAGTTGCCCTCAATTAAGAAAAATATTATTATTATTCGCCAATAGATGTCGGGAAGAGTTGATTATTGAAAACACGAATAAAACAACATTTTCTGACAATAAATCGTAGCTAGATCGATTTATCGCCCCCAAAATCCTCTGTATACTAAATTTTATGAAAATCGTTGGAGCCGTTTTCGAGATTCAGATTATATATATATATATATATATATATATATATATACAAGAATTGCTCGTTTAAAGGTATAAGATAAGATAGAGGACAAAACATTAAAGGTAGGAAGTTCGATATCGATAATCTTTCTGTGATTGACAAAATATCAACAATTAACGCAAATAAGTAGATAGCGTATTATCAAGTGCGATTAAGTTACGAAGCAAAACACTCGTGTGCATACTATTTTTATTTTTCGAGCATTCTTTTGAAAGTTTATCTACGAAAAATGGATTTACGCATTGCTGTATTAGTTTTATGTGCACTTTTTGGGAAAGCCGTCGGTAAGTGCTGAACTAAATAAGATTGGTTAAGACATTTATTGTGTTTTTATTTCTACTATAATCATTATTTGTTTCTTGAAATATGTCATTGCCGTGCTGTTATCGTAGTGCTTTAACTATCTCATAAATACAATCTCGGTGCATTATGGAATTATGGCATGTGTTATTTTGATATATGTCGATGAAACTACAATTAAAACTAAAGAGAAAGAATTAATCATTTTCTTTATTTTGCAATTAAAAACACAAATAAGCCGATTTCTATAACGTTATTATGTATTTAAGGTACTATTTGACAGAATTATTTGAGGTTTTATTTCGGTTCTCGACTCGGAAGTAGGAATTGGGTGAAATACGAATAGGTGACAATAATAGGGCGTATTGTAAGTACCTACATGGGGTGTAAACGAGTACCTACCACCGTCCTGTGTATTTCAACAACGACGTACCCAGCTTTAAGGGTGGGACAGTCATGCCACAATGTACCTACCTAATCGAGACTTCAAATTCTACCTGGTAACTGAGTATCACTTACCACTAGGTTATAGATCAAAAATATACATAATATGGATTTTGCTTTTCTAATATTTACATATTTATTAATTTCTGCATATCTCTTGAGTCAGTTATTAATAATTCTGCTTCGGGAATATGTAGTTGCCTTCAATTGCCCTTCAAAAATATAGCTATGTTGTTTCAGGTCGATTCAGATGCTATGCATGTAGTTTTTCATCAGTGGATTCGGATCAATCGTGCCTGACAATAGGAAACAACACGAACATCGTGGAGTGTCCATTCACTTATTGCACAATTACGAGACAAGAGTTCATAGTAAGTAAAAAATTACCTTTATTCATATTATTAGTTAACTACTCATTAGGACTATACTAGTGAATGTGGCTGGACACGGCGGAAAACTCGTACGCGCTCTGCACCATTGGGGGAAGCGATGCAAAATCTTCGACACACAACTTGGCTTTGCTTGGCAATGTCGAGTCGTGGCAAGAGAAGTTGAAATTCTGCCACTGGCTCTGAGTGTGACCTAGCGTGTTATCCTGTAGAATGCATGTAGCGCCATCTAGGCGTGTTTCATATTTAACGCTGACCGAGGAGCCCAGTTGTAATGGCACTGACAGCCATCGGTCTGGCGTCCGAGAGAAATATAGTGAAAGAAAGAAAGTCGCTCCGTGCTAAATTAAGCACCTTGGGCCCCAAATGTCCTAGTTTGAAGGGTGAGGCAGCCATTGTAACTATACTGAGACCTTAGAACTTATATCTCAAGGTGGGTGGCGCGTTTACGTTGTAGATGTCTATGGGCTCCAGTAACCACTTAATATCAGGTGGGCTGTGAGATCGTCTACCCATCTAAGTAAAAAAAAAAAAGTTAAGTTCAATGTCATCCGAAGTTCGAACGCGGGTTCTTGATCAACCGAGGTTTAGTTGGTTCGACACCAACAAGACCCACCTTCTACACTAAATTAGTAGGCAGGACTCCGGTAACTTCTTCCTCGTTTGTGTATATTTCCTGAGTTAGCAAAAAAGGCTCTGTTTTTTTAAGTTTTAAAAAGTTTCTCTTTTGTTATTAGGACCCAATAGGCGTGATCGCAAGCTTTACACGCGGTTGCGAAAGTTTCCCGGATTTTTTAAATCATGAAGTTACAGATCCAACCTTCCGAACTTTTTATAGAGCATGCACAAATGATTTGTGCAATATTGGTAAACTATTACAATTTGCTTATTTTTATTTAAAATATTACAAAATAAAAAAAACATTTAGGAATGGTATAATTGAAGCATGCTGTAAGATTGTGTTTATTACTATAAGTACATATTATTATATGAAACGACCCACTTAATTTTAAATGGTTATTGAAACCTATAGACACGACAGCGTGAATACCATTACTTATTTAAAAGAGAGTGATCCGAAGGCTCAATTGTGTTGGAAGCGGTGTTGGTGGTGGCGGTTATGTTAGCCTACAAAGTTCAGAAACAGCAAAGCGACGGTAATAGATATTGAGCTCAAAGGGCAGTACCTATAGTGTAACAAGAAGATAGCAACTATGAATAATGGACTACATAGGTACAAAAGAAACAAATAATGAACTATATAACAATCTATCTATTCTACACGTACTGCTATTACTTCACGTCCTACACATCCAGTCCTCAGAATATTATGTCATCCAATTAGAACTAAAATGAACTACACGTTTTAGGTGATGGAATTCAGTCTATAGTCGGCGGTAATTTGTCTCCGTATCCTGCATACACCGGCATTAATCTATTAGTACCTGGGACAGGAAGCGGAGTAAATATCAAAATGAATAGAGTGTTGTTCTTTTCTGTGATAATGATCCTAATCGGGTTACATGTTTAAATAAATAATGTTCATTTTGTTTTCTTCAAATCAGAATATTTTTTTGTAATATCTCAATAAAATACAGAAATTACATTAGCTCTTCTCATTAAGTACTTCCACAATATTACGTCCTAGAGTATCTGTACCTCGTACTCAAGCTAACGTTGGTTGACTATATCCCCACAGATTATTCAGAGACATGACGTTACCTAGGAAAAACGCTTTTGTCAGTGTCCTAGAGTCCAAATTGTCATTAAGTGAAAAATAGCTATAGCTACCAAAATGTAGGTTTCCTACTTCATTGACAAAATGTCTGTTAAAAAAGTTGATACCTAGGTTAAGAATTTTAGATAAAATATGTAATCAATAACATAAAGTAACATAAAAACTTTTACTAAATTAACAATGACTACGTCTCCTACCAGAACAAAACAGAAATTGTCTTTGCGGAAACGGTTATTCGTAAAAAAGTCTCCTCGAGTCGGTTGCTATGTTGATACAGAATCAAACGATGAATTTTCTCAGTCCACGTCTCGGCCCATATCGCCCGCGGATCCTTTTTTAGCTCAAAGTGCGCAGCATATCGAAACCAGTGTAGAAGCGATAGATAATCAACGAAATGCTAGTGCTGAACCACTTTCCCAGAATAGTAGTCACGGTGTCAGTCACAACCAAAGAGAAGAGGAGATCAACCCTAAATGCTGCCGTACCTTCTTTAGAAGATCTCGACCCAAGAGCTTAGTAGATGGAGGTCATTCCAAAGATGAACAGTGTCCAGATACATCCAGAGGTTGCAGTCCAGTATCGAATTCTATTAATAGTTTAAGTGACCAAACTATTTCTCAAACGAAATCAGACGAAATACCCAAAGCAACTATCAAATTTCCTAAAAGTGATGATTCAAAAAAGAGCTTTGAACATTCTGGTTCATTTGAGGGCATCAAAACAAAAAATAAACTCTTTGTCAAACGTTTATCAGCTGATCATCTGATTTCTACTGAAAGCAAACCACTATTTCGTTCTTCATCTCCCGAGAGTGATAGGAGTAGTTCTCTAGATCGTAAAAGAAGGTAATTATTAGGTTATTATATTGTAGTATTTTTTATTAAATAATTTATAATATTCATAAAAAAAAAATCTATTAAAGATTAACAAAGATTGGTTTTTCTTAGTGTATGAATAAAAATTATAATATACCCACTTCATTTTATAGAAGTAAATCAACAATAACCCGGTCTGCTTCTCGTGCGGGTAGCACTGATAGCTTAGCACGTAACTCTTTGCTTGCTGCACAGGTGCTACGCCTCATACCCACACAAGAAGCTCGTGAAAGGTAGGATATAAACATCCATATACAATCATATGCTTAATACAAACTACTTACAGTATTATTATTATATAGTATATTATATATTATTATCTATAGTATTTTATACATAATTACCAAAACTACTGAAATAAATGGTATATTAAAAAATAATTACTCAAGTCTTACTGTAGATAAAAGTAGAGTATTAAAAAAGTAAGATAACTAGTCGAGAATGCTTAGCCATGTTATTTCGCAGAATACAATATAAGGAGAGTAAGCTATTACCCATACACACAATCAACTGAATTTCTCGCTGCATTTTTTCAGTTGGTCGCAATTCTGATCTGGTGGTGGAGGTTCACAGCTGCCACTGGTTATATTTTTGTTAGGCTACCTTACCACCACCAGAGTACCTTTGACACTTGATCCATCTGTCCTGAAGATGGAAAGGAAATCTAATACAAAACAAGTAGCCAAGCTCACTTACCAATACTCTTTATACAATAAATTATCAAACATATTAGAATTATGTAAAATAATCCTAAAAATTACTTTATAAAGAAAGTTTAAATAAAGGTATTAAAAAATAAGCATTAGCTCCTTTCATAAGCAACCAATTAATAAATAATTGTTATAGATGAATTGTAATGGTGATTGTTAATTGGGGTATAATAGTGGTAGTCTTGTGAGTCTGCTTGGCTAGATACCACTACCCAGCCTATTTTTACCGTGAAGCATTCATGGGTTTTGGTTTGAAGGATGGTGCAACTATTGTAATTGTAAGAACTCATGTCTTAAAGTGGATGACAGCATCAACATCGCAGATGTCTATGAGCTCTGGTAACCACTTAACACCAGGTTGGCTATGAACTCGTTCACCCAATAATAATAAAAAAGTCAATTAGAAATACTATATATTTCTATTATATTATACATTGACACTGTATACATAATATTATCAGATGAAATTTATAAGCATCTGATATTTTTATATTATGCTATTTTTCAGAGAAGTTTTATAACATATAATCATTAAAAAATATATTTAAGTAATGAGTCATAAATAAATCAAACTAATTATTTACTTTGCCTTTACCTTATCAGCCAAGTACAATATGGGGACTGAGTCACTGTTACCTTGAAGTTAATTACAATAACGTACTACGAAAATGAGATCCTAAATTAAAATTTGTTGTACATTTTACAGAACATGTTTTAAAAGTTTTATATAATACGCTGTTTTTTTTATCGTGTGTTNAGTAATGAGTCATAAATAAATCAAACTAATTATTTACTTTGCCTTTACCTTATCAGCCAAGTACAATATGGGGACTGAGTCACTGTTACCTTGAAGTTAATTACAATAACGTACTACGAAAATGAGATCCTAAATTAAAATTTGTTGTACATTTTACAGAACATGTTTTAAAAGTTTTATATAATACGCTGTTTTTTTTATCGTGTGTTTAGTGTCGTATTCTATTTTAATGCAGAAAAATCTATTGGTACTTAAATTACAAAAATGGAAAGATCAAATGAAAATGTTTATTTCAGAAATTACCTTTATGGTAGACTTGCCTCACATTCACTCCTTGGCGCAGCTGAACTGGAACATGTTTTTCCTGATAGAGAAGTCAAGATATTTGTTGGCTCATGGAACATGAATGGGCAAGCACCGCCAAGGTAACATCTGATTGTATTGAAATACTAATATAATTGGTACCCAGTCATGCAACTTATAAATAGTAAATCTTTAAATTATTACAATGAAATCAGATGTTAGTAACATCTCCCAGGCTGAGCCTATATGCTCGGTATTAAAGGTTAAAGGTTGGCAGCAAAAAATAAAATGAAGTAAAATTAAAATCGAATTAACACTACATTACTTGAAGCTTTAAACAGTGAAAACTTCAATTTAATATTTAAAACATATTCTTATTAAATTTATTATTTGACACAATTACTTCATGAACCATTTGATATTAAGTGAATTCACCACATACTGGCCATCAACTGCCAAGCATAGCAGCCTAAAAATCTACCGCTATTAATTATAAAATATGCTTATGATAAAATTATATGTAAAGATTAATTATTTATCTATGCACCCGTTTGTCTATTTGAAGACCAGCCTGATAGAAAAATTAAATGGAATCTTATAGTGTAGTTCTTATATTTGTTATTTGGCATTTTTCATTTTAATTAAAGTGAGTGTTTTTATTTTTAGAGAGTTAGCTGATTTTATATTTCCCGACCAAATTAAACATGTGCCAGACGTGTTTGCTATAGGAACTCAAGAGTCATACTCAGAACGTACTGAATGGGAGATAACCATACAGGAGCTTTTGGGACCATCTCATTTGTTACTACATTCATATTATCTAGGTGAGAAACTATACTATTGAAGGACTTGTTTTGATTAGACAGTTTATTGAAAACACAAATACCCCATTCATTGATTGAAACAGAACAAGGTCTTTGAATGTGGAATTTCGAAATGTGGATCTAATTCAGTATACGGAACATCCTTTCCACAAAATAAATGGGTTCTATTTAAACATTTAGTGTAACAAGCAATATCTTAGATACACCAAAAAATGCCTTGGGCCGCCACCGTAATGATGACCAACAGGTATTTTTGTTCTCCTTTGAAAGCACTGTGTACAGAACTATTATAAAGATAAAACCTATTGTCTATAAATATCTGTAATATGACTTAACAGTCTAATGTTATACTGAGTTTTAAGTGTCCTTTAAGAACCAAAAATACTAAATTCTGATGATGATACAAATTAAAACTGTATTGCGATGCGATTTCCATGGCTTTACAGAATTGATACTCAGTCAGTATTTTATCAATAGATAAACAATAGATTTATCTTATTTAAAAAAAAAAGGATATCCTTTTTTTTTGGATCCTAATCGTAGATTGAAGTCAGGCGACTTCAATCTAGTCGCATACCATTGATGCAATGAAACTTGGCTGTAATTTCCTCGCTCAGTTCCACAAACGCTCGATAGATGGCGCGCTACTAAGTTCTATCGTTATTAATTATTTGTTATGACAGGAAGTCCTTACGGCATACCTTAATTAATCTCGTATTATATTTCAGGTACAATACATCTTGCGATATTCATCCGGAGAGACTTAATCTGGTTCTGCTCTCTGCCCGAAGACGCCAGTTTGTCGGTCCGTCCCGGGACAGCGTTTCGTACGAAGGGCGCCGTAGCGATCTCCTTCGCTCTATTCGGATCGACCTTTCTGTTCGTGACCGCCCATTTGACGGCGCACCAAGAGAAGGTCAAAGAAAGGGTTTCGGATATAAAGAGAATCATCAGAGCTATTGATTTACCGAAGAACTTACCGTGTCGTCACAAGAGTAAAGGTAATAAAAATTGTTAAGTTGTGTATCATGTGCGATTAAATAATTATGTGTGTGCGTGTGTGTATGTGTTTTTGTCAATGGAGATTAAATATATAATATGTAGGAACGGAACGGTATGACTGAATGACAGATATGGAGCATGACTGAGTGAGAGAGATAGGAGATGTCGTGTTAGGAAGTAAGAAAGACGGCGAATGAATGTTGGACATATAGTTTTATTTTTTAACTGAGAGGAGGAATGAGGGTAGTTATCGGATGCAACGGCAGACATACGCAGCATAGATAATAAATACACTTAATATTTAAGAAGACGCAGTTAAACTCTGAAGACGTAAGAAGTTTATATTTTAGTTACTTATCTATTAATACGTGAAGCAAAAACTTTGTACCCCTTTTTACGAAAATTGCGCGGACGGAGGAATATGAAGTTTCCCACACTTATAGAGAACATAGAGAAGGACTGCAGATTTTTTTTTCATTATGCAAAAAAAAAAATAGTAAGTAAATCAATAAAAACAAAAATTACACAACTACCATGTATGTGACACACACAAACGCATGCATAATACGTATTTTTTTACTGTAAAAATTTTCTTATTACTTATAGTCTGTGGTCAAATTTAGAATAGATTAAATACGGTTTGTCTTTATTAATATTTCTCTAAAATGTAGTCTTGGCGAAATCTGTGATTATAGAAGTATAATGGTCTTTGACAATAGAACCATAATAGTGTATAAACTTATAATTTCAATTAATTATTGTCGAATTTCGACTACCGGGGACCACTAGTATTAAGAAAGACGGAATAAGAATCAAGTTTGTGTGAGGCCATCAACTGTTTCATTGGCCCAAATCGAATAGAAGACCCCACATATATGTATGTATGTATATATTATAACTTTTGCAGATGTCACGAATAATTTCGACTACGTGTTTTGGTGTGGGGATCTTAATTTTAGACTGGGCGAGCCGAGAGCAGCGGTGCTGAGATGGATCGAACAAACTCAGGTATATCTCGGTTTTGAACTGTGCCATGCCATTTTATATCTACGCGGCACTAAAATATCGTCGAGAATTCAATAGCCATATACGATGCCGTACGGTTGCCAACTGCATTTTTTTACAAATGAAAAAAGTAACAATTATAAAACAAACTTAGCGCTGTTATTACAGCTTTGTTCAAACCCAAGTCTGTGGGGGCATTACTACTCTAGATTCTGAACCAGGATCTGACCAACACGATGACTGCTTGCCATTGTCAAAAAGATTATCATTTTTTATCGCAAATAACAATGTGGTTCAAATATATCTTCGTTTCTGTGTCTGTTAAGCAATGCAAGGTATACCTTAATGCGTTCGTCGCATTGGCGATTTTTATATGTATAGAATTTTTATGTGAATATATTCATTTACAATGCAAGAGCTTTAAATGTATTTCGCTACTTTCTGTTTCTCTACCACAGACTAGCAGCTTATAATCGTTCTATCGGTAATTAAACAAAACGTTTTCAGTTTCCTTTGCCTCCGTACTTACCTCATGGGCTTTTGCACGCCGACCAACTGACAGCCGTATTAGAGGACGGCGCTGCATTCAGGGACTTCAGAGAGGCCCCGATAACATTTCCTCCTACTTACAAGGTAACAGCCGAAACTAGCATTAACGTTTAGGTGCGGATTGCCGTTTTTATTTATTTATTATCTATGGTTTTCACCAGTCGTACACATAATTAAAACTACATGGTTTTTAAACTTTTTTTTAAAGTATTCTAAACTTCGTAAATAGTAGAAAAACAAAACGGTTTTAATTAATATTTTTAACTAGCTTTTGCCCGCGACTCCGTCCACGTTGTATAGTTACTTTGGCATAACGCTAAATTTTACCCCCCCACTTCATTTACGTAGAAAGTGAAAATATTTTGAAACATTCTATATTGGTGCTCCACTTGTATGGATCTCATGATGTTATAGAGCCTATAGCCTTCCTCAATAAATGGGATATCTAACACTGAAAGAATTTTTTAAATCGGACCAGCAGTTCCTGATATTAGCGCGTTCAAACGAACAAACTCTTCAGCTTTATAATATTAGTATAGATGTCGTATGTTAAGTTAGCATGCCGCTGCTTACCTGACTACTTACTGAATATAGTCGTCCCAAAGTAAATGTCGCCGCCTCCCAACTAGAGACATGAGAATGAAGTCTTAATTACATATAATTATAATATGATGACTCTCCACCCTCTATATAGGAACGCATGATTGCTTCGCGAATAATGAGCAGGGGTGTGATTTAAATACAGTAAATTAAAAATAAGTTTTCATAGCATCACTACCTGCCGCGTAGAATTTATAACGCACTATATATTAATAAAATAATAATAAATAAAAATAGTACACATTATAAATATAAAGGTTTTCAACCACGACTTCTCTTCAACGCGCCCCGCGACATTTCATTATAGCTTTGATATCAGACTAGTAGCTACGTATAATAAAAAGTTTGCTGAGAAATTTGTACTTCATATTATATCAAAACCTTTTTTGAGTAACTTCGAATAATAAATACGTCATCAAATTAACATCGAAAATTGAGCTATTCAATTTCATTACAAAAGGAACCATATTTGTAGGACATGTGTGCACACAAATGTGCTAATCGGTCAAGTTTTCAACATAGGCAATACTAATTTTGTAGTACGATCCCGGAAGTCAACAATTCGACACGTCGAGCAAACAGAGGGCGCCAGCGTACACGGACCGGATACTGTATAAATCGAGAACCATGGCCAATAACTCTACCTCGGCCTTTTCAGGTGACTTACTACAACATTCTAGCAACGACTTAATTATTATTAAACTAAACTTGGAAAGAGTCTTGAGCCGTGAACAGCGGTTCAGGTGTGCCCTGTCTATAAATAATTAATGTTAACGCTCAGTATAGGAAAGCTTAGTGTTTAAGATGTAAAAGATTTCTTATGAGTACAGAAATAAAAGTCTGATAACAAATCGGTGACAATGTGTCTGAAGCTGCTTTCCGCAAGTGGGTGGACATACTAACAGTTTCATGGATATATTTATATAGGTTTTTAGGTTAGCCAACTAATTTATGTGACTACCACTTCCGGATTAGTTTGGGAACTTGACAAACGAAATTTAATTTAGATGTTTACGGGCTCATATGACATGATGTGTGTAAGCAATAAATAAATAAAATGTTCAAATTCTTATACACAATGTGGAAGCTATTCCTATTCCTTCAATGTGGGAGCTATTCGCGTAATCATGCTAAATAAATGCGTTTAGAAAAATTGACGCTAAATATGGATTGTATCAAAGCATCTTATCTGTGTACAGTACCCGGCGCTAAAGATTGCACATCGACCTTCAGTATTGGTAGTGTGCGACAGAGATAACGCTCTACGAAACCGAATAGATCCGATTGTCTCTTTCCAAAGGTCGTCGAGCAATATTTATCGCCGGGTACTGTAGAACTATGAAGTCATTAGGTTTCAAAACTACACCGTCCTACTTACTTGTTAGATCACGCACGCTTTATTTCCTAATTTATAAGTTGCGCCAATAAAGAAACGAATCGAAAATGGCGTCCTGTAAACCTGTCAGTACAGGTAAATAGACGCCAGGTACATAGGTACACAGGTACATAGACCTGGTTGGGTCAACAAATAAAAAGAAAGATAGTAAGAAAAAAGTTGTTTATTGTAAAAAAATATAAAAAAAAACAAATGAGAATGTACTTTACTTTATGCCCTGGCAGAGGTTGAGGTGTCTCAGCTGGGATGCAACTTGCGTAGACACTTTTGCTGCCAGTCATCTAAGTCGCACAATCGAATGTGAAAAAACTCGAACTCAACAACAAAGTCAGAACTGATATTTTTTTTGCATGCAGTACGCGCCGTGTGCGACTAAAGACAGCAATAGTTTAGAGTGAGAGCGCATGATCACCGCCGCCATTTTAGATTCGTTTCTTTTTTGCTGCGGCTTATACCAGAACGGTATGGATGTTCTTTTTGAAGGTCTTCGTCGCATCAGCGCGGTCCCGGTGTCGTCAGGCGTGAAGTGTCTCGCGTACAACTCTGTGCAGTCGGTGTGCACGAGCGACCACAAACCGGTCTGGGCTTTGTTCTCCACGACGCTGCGTCCCGGCACCGATGTGTAAGCTATGAGCTTATTCATCTAATCTATATATTAATACGTAGGGTAGCTACCGCCGTCATCGTTTGTCGTCGTCGTGGTCTAAAGGATAAGACGTCCGGTGCATTCGTATCTAGTGATGCAACGGTGTTCGAATCCCGCAGGCGGGTACCAATTTTTGTAATGAAATACGTACTTAACAAATGTTCACGATTGACTTCCACAATGAAGGAATAACATCGTGTAATAAAAATCAAACCCGCAAAATTATAATTTGCGTAATTACTAGTGGTAGGTCCTTTTGTGAGTTCGCACAGAAAGGTACCAAAACGCAGCCTATTTTTGCCGTGAAGCAGTAATGCGTTTCGGTTTGAAGGGCGGGGCAGCCGTTATAACTATACTGAGACCTTAGAATTCATATCTCAAGGTGGCTGGCAGAATTTAGATGTCTATGGGCCCCGGCAACCGCTTTACATAAGGTGGACCGTGAGCTCGTCCACCAACCTAAGCAAAAATAAAAAAATAATAAAAAAATTACCACTATTCAAGCTACGGTTGCCCGCTATCGATAAAAAGGTGGTACCAAAGATCGAATTTTTAACCGAGTTCAAAAAAGGAGGAGGTTCTCAATTCGACTAAGTTTTTTTATGTTTGTTACCTCATAACTTTTGACTGGGTGAATCGATTTTGATGATTCTTTTTTTATTAGAAAGCTGGCGCTTCCCGTGTGGTCCCATTTCAATTTAGTCCAATTCTGATAATGGTATCTATGAGAAAACCATATTATAAGTCTTAAATTTGCATTAAGTACGTGCGCGACAAATAGATGAATAACTCAATAACTCAATATCTCAATATCACGCCAACCGATTTCGATGATTATTGTTTTTAGTGTATAATAATTTGTTTTGGAATGTCTTTTTTTTCTATTTGAAGTCGGTTTTTGTCTATTTACAATTCTTTTTTCCACAGAGTGCCATTAGCTGCTGGCTTATTCAATCGTGAAGTTTACCTGGAAGGTATAAAACGCCGGCGGGCACTCCTCGACCACGCCCCCGGTACGTCAGCCGTTTGCAACGTACAATAATAAACATTTGAAATTATAGTGATGGGAATAGTATCCTATCGATAATTGGATTAGTCACAAAATTCGATGTTCAATAGATATATGCCGTGAAGGAACTCTATAAACATTAAGTACAAATAGTTTAAAATTCTAGCTTAACTTTCATTGTCCCGAATCGAATTCAATCTATCGTTTTAACCAATAAAAACACTAAGCGTGATGGGATGAAACAACATGTTGAAAAGATTTTTAACAACAATGGCAACATTATATCGTTTTAAATTATTTCGATTTTGTGTTAATGAGCGTTAAGCTTTAAGAAATTACTCATTTTCTCGTAATTTGTATAAGTAGCAAAAAGTAATAATTAAAACTGGAACTTTATTTTTTAACAGGACAATAAATAAACCTTACCAAAGTAAATTCAAACGGATTACGAATATCATCTTCGTTAACGTAATTTATAAAGGAAAAAGACATTTAATTGTAGCACGTGTTTTTTTGTGTGTTATTTATTAGTTTAAGTTGAAATGAGTGCAATGAATTTAATTTTTATTCAGTCGTATAACTGTTAATTTAAAAAAAAACCTTCATTAGATGCAGGTTTTGAAAAATGTTCTATCGATTAAAAATCAATTGATTTTTATCGGCGAAATTCAATTTTTTAGCCTTATTGATGTTAAAAAAATATTAATCGATAAAAAATGAATTAAATTGCGTTCGCTTCTTGATTGCATCATTTCAGTGATGCGTAAAGGTTACACAATAAACTTTGCTAGTTAAAAAATAAAAAATTAATGAACAGACTTTGTTTATGTTTGGAAAGAGACATATCAACAAGAACATTTTGTTTAGTTTCAAATAGAATATTTAGTTTTAGTAAAACACATCAAAGATGTCAAATGTACGCTAGACGGTTTTATTTATTAATTATTAATTTTCATCACAAAATAATGTTTATTTGTTCGAGAGTACGAATCCTTATTCCACTTTTGTGCGAAGAAAAAATTAAAAACAAATCTAGTCATTATCCAAAAATCGAACGTCAGTATTCACAAAGATAATTATATTTTATTTACATTGTTAATATCAAATAGAGATTAAGCGATTTGTAGTTTTATTTTAAATAAGCTATTACGTAATCCGAATGTTTCTCGAACTGCTTACGTTCGTGTATTATGTACTCTATTGTTGACTGCATTGATTATAAAATCACTTGACACAAGCTTTATTATTTTCACGCAGTAATCGCTCATGCACTTTTAGATTCAGGGACATGCAGAACTGCTTAGATTGTAGAGAAAAAGAATAAATAATATTTTCTCTCGGTAAGGGTCCGTGTAATAGGGCTGCCTATACGCAAAAGCCTAAATGATACCAGTGATTTTACGTGTATAATCCAATTTGATCATATCGAAACTATAATTGACTTTGGAAACCGAAATTAGTTTCAACCCGAAAAGCTTGAGAAACTACAATATTCTAAATGTAAAATATGATCAAATGTTATTCGATTCGTAAATACTAATCGAATGACTTTTGATTAAATTTTCTTTTCTTTTGATTATATGCATACTAGAAGTAAGATTCTAATTAAACTTAATGATTTAGAATAATCGATAATAGGCCAAGTGCAAAGATATAGTGAAAATATAATTGCTGCTGTTTTAATTACAATTTTCAAATTAACATTATGAATACGTATATATTTGTATTTTAGCTTCATATTAAAAAAAGTATATATAGCTATGAAAGGATTATCAACTCAAGAATACATATTATAATTTATAACAAAACTTTAAACAGATAATGTTCCAATCAGAGCATGACTGTTATTAGAAAATTGGCGCCTCTGGCGGTATAAACTAGTAGTAAAATTCTCTTTTGCCACCCAAGTTTTTTGGTACGCATGTGACCTCTCGAAAGTTTCAAACATTATAGATTATAGGAACTAAAATATGTAATACATAAATATATCTATTATTATTATTATTATTATTATTATTATAAGATGTGTAGTTTTGTGTAGCGAAACGAGCTTTTAAAACTAAATAGTTCTCATTGTGATGTTTCTGAAACGGTACTTAAAATCTGCCTTAACTATCTATATATATGTATACATTGGAAGTTTTGAAGTGTTCTGAACATTTCATTATAATGAGACGCTGTTATTGAAATTCGTTCTAGTCTGAATATTCATTCCTTAAATTCAATAGAACAGTAAATAATATATTTTAGTTTAAAATAATAGTAATTAGAGATTTAATCAACATCAATATATCAAATATATGTATTTACATAGATGTGTTTAAAAATATATCGACGCTTGAAAGGCAAACGTGACTAAAGCCTTGTTCGGACTAGGCGAGTATTTTAGTCGAGTACCGAGTAATTTAGTGGGTAAACTACTCGCTACTCGCCCGAAAAATAGAACAAAATGGATTGACTTGACTAAATTATTTACTAACCTACCAGACTAAATTTTTGGTGCTCAGACACATTTAGCTACTAAATTACTCGGTACTCGACTAAAATACTCGCCTAGTCCGAACAAGGCTTAAGCGACAATGCGTGAACTTTACAGTAGACTAATTTAAAGTTGAAATACCTGAAAAAAATTATATTTTAACGAAACTAGCGGTAGGATTGAAATGATTTTAATAGACCTAGAAATATTTTTTTTTTGCGCATCGAATATAGTTATTGCCTATCATTTATGTATAAAGCCGTTATTGTCGCTCACGTTTGTCTTTCAAGCATCGATATGTGCATTATCGTCATGGTTCAATTGTCACAGACAAGTCCGATTTTAGGGAGAGGGCGCTCTAGTTTTTGCTAGACATTATGGACGACAATAAACACATACTATCAGGTGCGCCGCATGCTCATCCTCGAATATTTTTTTTTGTGTCCACCTAAACTGCAAAAATATTTAAAAAAAGAAAACATATTTCTAAAAGGAGTTAAATGGTTATAAACCAATAGTTTCCTGCCTAAACTAAATAAAATAATATTCATAAAAGTTACAATTATATCACAATAGACTAGCTAGATTCGCACATTCTTTTCGACATACGTGTATTTTTTTAAATCATTAGGATTTTTTTGTAGTATAAATTTAGATGTGTGCATTATTTTGTTCTTAGTATTGTTTAAATTTTAAATTTTGAATATTATTGAAAATGATACATTTAAAAATACTGAATACTATAATGATTTTTATCAAAACAATTTAAACACAAGAAAGTGATTATTGTTAGTAGCAATGTGAGTGGTTGCTTGAATCATAGCGTCGGTGTGGTTTTGTTATTCAAAATGACTCTTATTACATTACATTATATCAAATTTGTAGGCTTAAGAGGGAGGTTTAAGAACGCTCTTCTTGTTATTGAAGTTGTAACAACCATCCTTACCGTAGATCAAAAAACAATTTTTATTTGGTAATCGAAGCTTATTGGTATACCAATTTGATGTAACGTAAGTACTCAATGTAAAGCGCCCAAAATCTACGGTCAATGACCGTACAGACCATGTTCACGTACATATACACTATACAGGGTGTCCCAGACAGAATGGATAAACCTGAAACACCTCATAGTAGAGCTATTGGGGACACAAAATAAATAATAATAAAAAATATTTCTTAGATAGTACCCAAATTAAAAATAAAGAAAAATTACCAAATTTCATGATTAAAATTTCAGCATTTTTACACTAGCTAGGTACGCATACGATATTCCTTAGTGAAGTCCATGTAGAATATTAGAACATCAAAAAGTCTATGGATTTCATTTATTCATAGCTGCTGTATATTCCAGAACGCACAGCATGGAATGTATCAACTTTTTTTTAAAATACGTAATTTGCGTACTACTTGAATATTTTTTTGTGTACCTAATATCTCTACTATGTGTTGTTTCAGGATTATCGATTCTTTTTGGGATACCATGTATAAAGTTTGATTGATATGCCAACCTATTTTTGTTTGTCATTGTATTGCATCAATATATTAAATTTAATTCAATCAAAACTTTAAAGGACATTAACTAGTATTAATGTATAGAAATAAATAAATAAATTAAACCATTAAGAACTGCGACAGAATTAGAAAATATACTTAGTAAATAAGATTATTGTCAATTGTCCCATCTCTAAAAGGACGATTTTAATTATTTTGCACTACGTGATTACTACTGATACTAATAGATGATTATATTATCTATATTTAAAGTAGAAGAGATGCTAAAAATGCATTCACTAGTCACAAGTATTAAACTTATTGACCTGTCTTCCATAAACGTACGTAACCTTATGTAAGATACCTCGTGCAGACAGGAATATTAAATAGAAAACTATAAATAGTCAAAATGAATGAAAAAGAGCTATGTTTCTGGCTTTACTTTGCCAAATTTTCGAACAAGGACATCCTTTTTTATCTTTATTTTTCCGTACCTATTCGCTGGTAACCCAAGGGCTATTCCAGTTACGCACTGGCTCATAGGTGAGCTCACGGGGTTGAACTTTAGAGGATTGTTAACATTGTTCTGTGAAGATGTTCAGAACCTACATATACATAGGCTTAAGAAAACTATTAAAGAACATCTGTGCAATAAAGCTTACTATAAAGTCAATGATTATCTAGAAGATTGCACAAAGTGGGAATGAGTCGCTCGCTCCGGGCATTTCAATATTGCAATAATTGTTACGTTATAATACATCTTGTAAAAATGAATTTAAAAAAAATCTAAAATTAAAAAAAAGGACATGCCCGCTGAGCTTCTTGCCAGTTCTTCTCAGGAAGGAGGTTAGCTTTTGTGAATTGGCGGTTGTTCCTTTTTGACGTTCAACAAGTGTGTACTTTCATTTATGTTGAATAAAAAAAAAATGATTGATTGATTGGCCCCAACAACAGCAGTGGTTTGCAGAATCTACCACTGGCACATACACACACTAAGAAGAACGGGCGAGAAACAGTGGACTGTGTCTATGGGATTCTTACTCGTTGAATTATGTAAACTAGTTTTCGTCCAATTATTGTTAAAACAAACTTCGCAATGGCCAAGGAAAAAAGAAATCGGTTGACACAAGAGAAAACTGTTTGTCTTTATAAACAGATCTATAAATATAATTGTGGGTATTCTTACATATTTTGACGCCACATATTATGTTTAGGTTCAATGAAAGAAGATGTCCGATTTATTTGTTACAAATTGCATATACATATAAGTACTAGTAATAAATGCTTATAATGTTCTAAAGTTTTAGCTTCTAATAATTTTTGCCATTAATTCAAGATCGGTCAATATTAGTTGATGTCGATTTTGATGAACAGATATTTAGATTTATCTAACGTAGTTAAATACGCTAGACTATACCTACTATTTAACTATTATGAACTGTTTAAAAGTACAACTTTTGTATAACATTTTATAAACCAATATGTAGAATATCCGAATGTTTAATTCTATACTTTTTTTATTTAGATCCGAAATGACTATTGTCAATATGAAAAATAAAAATAACATTTTTCTTTTAAATGAGCCTCTCCCATTCTCAAAAATTTAATGCTCACGTAACTTATCTTATTTGTCGTGAATTCCTCAAGGTATGCTGTAAGTCCAAATGTCACTTTGCATATTTTAAATATTAACGGCGTTATCGTTCTGCGGTATTGTAAGGGTTGCCAGATGTCTGATTGTAAATTAATTTCGAATTTTAAACAAACGACCTCTATAAATTTCGTTCGATTACAGAAATAGTTTACAGTTTGGAAAGAATACAAAAAAAATGCTAATATTATCTTTTTATTTGCACTTAATTACAACAATAGTAAATAAAGTATTTTGATATTTGGCGTTGTTTTGGACAGCAAATTCAGAACTTATGAATCTATTGTAGTAATTCGTGACCATACGTTAAGTGTTTATTTCATTACAAAAATTGATACCTGCCTGCGGGATTCAAACACAGTCGGATCGCTCGACACAAGAACACCAGTCGTCTTATCCTTTAGGCCGCGACGACATAGCGACAATTGAGGCTTCATAGCCATAGACGCAGATATGAGAGAGGCATTACTGAAGTCTTCAGAACTCGAAAGAATCAGAATCAGAATGTAATTTTAAATGTTATTAATAGAAAACTATCCGTCTTAATGGCATGTCTGTATCTAAAAAACCTGAATAAGTACAGTATTTTCTTTTCATAGACTAAAAAAATATGTTCGATAATTTATAATAATATTTAATATTTCATATAGTACTATTGTTTGCATTGAGCGTATACTGTGAAAATTTTGCGTATGATAATATTAATTTACAAGCATATGAATTAAATGCAATATTAACTAATCAGAATCCATAAAATGTGACATTCATAATTCAAGATCCTATAATATATCGACATTTTTTGATTGATATATTCCCTCATAAGTTTTATTATAATATGTTCTAAAAACATGTCCACTAGAATGTAAGAAAACGCCAGTTTCTAGGTGATGCAAGTACATATATAGTTCAAATAATTTCACTCACATATTTGATGTGGATTTTGATTCGTTAATTATTCGACTGAAATATTGTTATTTGAATGTAGAATACTAAAATGTATATTTTTAATGAAATTCAGTATTTCCAACTAATAAATGCTAGTCCGTATATTCCAAAATATTTTGTTTCACTTGTAAGTTGTGTTAGGTGTATATTATTGAAATGTTATTATAAATATTGATCTAATATCCTTCCCCTATGTTTGTTTTATTTACCTACTATCATTATCCATGGCTTTTAGACGGGATTACTGTTGTGTTCGAAACAAAATCATTTAAAAACCCAATCCGAGTGGTGTGCGTAGTTAAAACTAGTTTTACGATTTAATCTCGCCTTCATTCGTGTCATAGTATTTCACTTGAATACTATATAATTTTCGTGGGCATGGACGTATAATGTTCTTTCTTTTTTTTTTTTAAGTATGGCAATTGGCTTCTTGCGATGATATATTTGTCAGTATCAAGTTTATATATATATATAATTTTTATATAATAATATATAATATATATATAAATTTATATATAATAAATACATACATAAATATTCTGTTATATGAAAAATGATATTTTATGGAATTAAATGAGATAAAGTAGATTTATTTGAGACTAATCAATTGCGGTCAAATTGATTGAAACGAGATGATATGGAATGAAATAAAGGCTCAGTAAAATGGTGTTTATTTACAGAGTTACTTCAGTAAACTTTTTAGTAAGAACCAGTGAAAACACGTCCAGCGCCTTTGTTCCATCTTCCCACATTCGTGCACTTTACTGATGCAAAATGGCTAATAAACCACCATTGTTACACGTTTGATGCTGAAGAAATAGTAAATTATCAAAATGAAACAATTCACCCAACTTCGCTCCTCGCGTTCCCGCCAAAAACGCGTTGACATTTGAATATTGCGCTAAACATCGTATATTTTTCAATAAGAACTATCTCTAGACTTTTAAGTTTAATTTCTAGAAGAATGAATTGCACAAATAAAAATATTGGTTCGTCGGGAATATTATATTGACAATAACAAACGCGAGTTTAAACCGTAAAAGCAGTTTTAATTTTAACACCAATAATGTCAACTGTTATTTAACAAGAAGAGACTGACCCGTTCCCTATTCAATTAAAAATAAAATGTGTTTGAATATAGACTTTCATTACAATTTATTCGTCACATTTAAAACATTATTATATTGCCATTCAACACAGGCTCGTCCCTTAACCCCATTAATATCGACTGTAGACCATCTCTCGTAAAACTTTGACGTTCTCTCTTTTCCGATGTAAAATACGTCTTCGTCGTCAACTTGGACCTTCACCGTGTAAATATCACCTCCTGAAAATATAAAACATAATATAATATTTCTAGAAAAGTGTCGTTTACTAAAATTACTGAATACGGCCTATTCTAGCCCGCGCGGGTAATTAACATGACCATTCCACCATTGGGACATCGACGCTGACTGGCGAGATCCACGGTGTGATGTAAATGGGCTCTGTTAACCATTTAGCACCGGATGGGTGGCGAGCTTGTTATATGCATATAGCAATAAAAACAACTGATGAAAACAAACAAACAAAAACCTGCTCTATATCTACCTACTGGTATGTACGTTAATACGTGGTAAAAAGAGCGTTATTAATAGCTTAAAAAAGGATAGACACGTTTTATTCAGCTCATATTTCGAGACCAATTAAAACCCATGTCGCTCAATAACCCGTTTTCGTATTACCTAAGGGTAAAGCAGAAATAAATTTTATTCGTGTTACATTGCGTCCAATTTTTGGGTTAGGAATCATTAAAATTATCACTTTTCGGGTTTGACTCCGATACACAGCTAATATCATCATCATCAACCTAGGTACGATCGTCAACAGTTCGACATCGCCATATTGATACACATACCGGATAAAATAATTCGCTTGGTAGAGACGACTTCTTTATAGGTTCGAAATGTTTTGGCACTTCCAAAACAATGTTCACACCGACAAGGGATCTTTCTTCTTGGGGATATGCAAAGTTTGCGAAGGTTACTCTCGCTGTTTAACTCTCTTAGGACTTAAAGATCAGGGTTAATGCCCCGACTGTTAGGTTTCCTCGTTCATAAAGATTATTTTTCGTTTATTTTAATGGGGTTTAAATAATACAAACCGGCTTTGAACATAAATCCGTAATCCTTAGGCAAAGTCTGCATTTCTCCGTGTTGGTACAGCTGGAAGTCACACCATTCAACAGGGAAGACAGCTTGATCTGACTTACGGCAATAGTACCCAATTGTGAGACTAAAATAGAAGTGCAGAAAAATATTTGAAAGTGTTCTTTTTTAATTACTGTTATTAGAATTTATTAAGTCTGCGTGGAATGTGAAGACCATCTAGATGGTCTTCACATTCTATATCTAGATATTTCAGCCGCGATCTAGATATTTCAATATCTAGATATTTCAGCCGCGAAGCAGTCGTTTGTTTCAATTGAAAGAGTTAATATGGAATATAGCAGTTATACAATTGAAGCTTGGACCTCGTGTCTGGAGTAGACATTTACGTTTGCGAGGACTATAGACTCATGTATCCCTGTAACACTGAGGCGCCATGAGCAATACAATAAGTTCGTGTTGATCAAACTGCATATAAACACTAACTCGATTAACAGATAGGTATTTTTAAATCGTATAACACAATATTATTGCGATCTTAAAGCAACTGAAATGCGTCCTCGGTGCTGCTATTGTCCTTGACCGACCGCGACCATTCAGTAGCATGTAGGCCGGACATCCGTCTGACTTCGAAGGTAAATGGTACCGAATAAAAAACACATACTTATTATGTACTTACTGAGACAGAATAGCCGGCTGTGAAACACTTCCTATGGCCATACAGTCGCCGTTATCAAGAAATATAAAATGGTAGACGTATCGATGGAACGTGCGCCAGTCGCGAAATGGTCCTGAAAATAAACTAATGTAGGTAAATTTTTATATTTTTAATGAATGTAAAAATGACTATATCAATATAAAAGTGTATGTAAATACGTATGGTTTCTAAATGAGCACTATATTTAAAAACGCTTTGACTGAGGTCGGCGACGAATAACACCTGGCTATAGAAACAATTTAACATCGGTGTCAAAAGTTAGCTCATCTAAGTATGGAATGGGATCGTTTGCCTACGTTTGCCGCTAGGGGCGCTGTTCCAACTGCATACAAAATTGGGCTAACTCGTACGCTATCCAGAACGTTAAAAAACCCGCACTAATCATACAGATGAGTTGTGGTGTCGTTCGTCTATAGAAAGACCTAATATTGTACACGTACCAAAGCTATGATCTCTAACTGCGGGCATATTCAGTTCGTATTGTTTACCGTCAACTTTTACAATCCCTGTAATTACGCCCATTTGTTCGTAATGTGTTTGATGCAACCTGCAAACAAGGCACTTTTAAATGGATGGTGGACGAGTTCACAGCCCACCTGGTGTTAAGTGGTTACCGGAGCCCATAGACATCCACAATGTAAATGCGCCACCCACCTTGAGATATAAGTTCTAAGGTCTCAAGTATAGTTACAACGGCTGCCCCACCCTTCAAGCCGAAACGCATTACTGCTTCACGGCAGTAATAGGCAGGGTGGTACCAACCGTGCGGACTCACAAGAGGTCCTACCACCTATGAAATATCTTGAATTAAAGTTCTTCTCTTGAAATTAATCTTATCTTGCATTAAAGTTGCTGTTGGATATAGAAACAGATTCAATACAAAAATACAAATTTATTCCGGATCCCTATTAAGCTAATCAATTGTAATACATAACTGAAAAGTGTAATATCTGATCTTTATAACAAAACCTATATTGACAAAAATATATAATTTTTTTTTTTTTTTTTTTATTGCTTAGATGGATGGACGAGCTCACAGCCCACCTGGTGTTAAGTGGTTACTGGAGCCCATAGACATCCACAATGTAAATGCGCCACCCACCTTGAGATATAAGTTCTAAGGTCTCAAGTATAGTTACAACGGCTGCCCCACCCTTCAAACCGAAACGCATTACTGCTTCACGGCAGTAATAGGCAGGGTGGTACCAACCGCGCGGACTCACAAGAGGTCCTACCACCTATGAAATATCTTGAATTGAAGTTCTTCTCTTGAATTAAATCTTATCTTGAATTAAAGTTGCTGTTTGATATAGAAATAGATTCAATACAAAAATACAAATTTATTCCGGATCCCTATTAAGCTAATCAATTATAATAACTGAAAAGTGTAATATCTGATCTTTATAACAAAACCTATATTGACAAAAATACCTATATATTATCTCAGTTGCTTCTGTTGAAGTCACTATGTACCTAAAACAGTACGAATTGATTTCAAAGATTACTTTTAAAATTACTTTTTTAGCAGTTTAAAATAATCCTGCGACCACGATTCCCTCGCCATGTCGGTAGCCATACTGTATGGCGCCATATGTGAGTCATAATTGAAATGAGGCCATTGTGCACTCCATGTTAGAGATAGTTCAACAGTTAGGTAATCTTCAGGATAGCTTTTTTGTCTGAAATAAAAAACAGCTTATTTACTGCTCAATTCAAGCTTTATACACTTTGTGTGTTCGCGGGTTTTCAATGATTAGTAAAATAGCTTTTTCGCGAAAAAGAGACGGAAATTCGCATTAATAACGAATACAGTGATAGATCATCCATAATAGAGTTCATCTATACTACCTAGAACTACTGCATTCACCCACAGTACAATTCCAGAGATTTTTTTGGCACGTACCATCCGGCTTGATAAATAATCTCCCCTCTATGGTGTTTCCCGAGCGATATGACATGTTCTTTTTCAAGCGAGGCTTGTGGAGAGTACTTTACGGTAGGCAGCAGGTTGGCTCTGCCCCTAGCATTTCTGACGTCCATGAGCGACGGTAACCACTCACCATCAGGTGGGCCGTAAGCCCGTCTGCCTACTAGGACTATAAATAAACTTCTGAAGACGTCGTGGCCTATAGGTTAAAACATCCGGTGGATTCGTATGTAGCGATTGGTGTTCGAATCCCACCGGCAGGTAGGTACCAATATTTCCAATGAAATACGTACTTAACAAATGTTCACGATTGACTTCCACGGTGAGGAAATAACATCGTGTAATAAAAATCAAACCCGAAAAATAATAGTTTGCGTAATAACTGATGGTAGGACGTCTTGTGAGTCCGCAAGGGTAGGTACCACCACCCTGCTTATTTCTGCCGTGAAGCAGTAATACGTTTCGGTTTGAAGGGCGGAACAGCCGTTGTACTGTTAAAATTGAAACCTTACAACTCATGTCTCAAGGCGGTTAGCGGCATTTACGTTGTAGATGTCTATGGGCTCCGGTAACTTAACACAAGGTGGACCGTGAGCTCGTCCACCCATCTAAGCAATAATAACAAAAAACTCCCCCCTGAATAGAGCTTTTTATATTGTCGACAATTACAGTTTTAAGCGCTGGAACTACGTAGAGAACTTAAATCTGTGTAGTTGTTAATATATTAGAAGTCCCAGGAATTGTGTAAGAGAAATAGTCCGGTCATATTTTTACTACGGAATTCTACCCGCACAGTTTAGGCGCATTTTCTGGAACACACATACACAGGGCGTACATTTTAAAATATTATTTGCCTATACCTCTACCCTTGGACTTGCCGCTACCTATAAACAGCTACCACATACGATCAAGAGCATTCGTTATGTGAATCACGTTGAATATGACATAATACTCGCTCTTCCCAAAAACAACTATCTAAACATGCGGTCACCTCTGTTGTGTCGGCACTACGACTTCATCCATCGCTATTTTAGATGATTCTTAAGGACTAAGTCACGACTACTTGGTAAGAGAAGAAGGACCTGAAGGAGAAGAAGAAATCTTCGCATGTAAACTTAAAGGCAACGTGTTTTTCATGTTTTTTGTTTGTCTTAATTGTATGCGTAATATAAGTCAATAAAGTCAATGACATTATAGTCTACTATCCGATTAATAGAAGGATAGGTTAATTTAGTTGTTGTAATTTGAACAATAATCTCTATATTATTTATTGTTCTTACTTCATAGATCCATTGTAAGTCAGTTTCCAAGTTCGCATTGGTATGAAATTGTGAACTTCTATTCCATTTACTTTATATTCGCCTCCTTCTGATTCAGTTTGTTTCAAGCAAGTATCTGGCAAATTTGGCGATAGAAGAAGCTCTTCACTATTTAACTAAAAATTTATATGAAGTTATTATAAATGATAATCTCGCCAGTTACTCGCTTATAAGGCGTTATTTAAGCCAGTACGGGTAGGTACCACCATCTTGTTGCTTCGAATGAGTCATGCGTTCCCGTTTGAAGGGTGAGATAGCTGTTTTACAATGCAAGTGAGATTGCAACCTCAGGTCTCAAGGTCAGTGACAGTTTTCACATGATATTGTCTATGGGCTCTGGCAACCACTTTACAGCGCATAGGTTGTGATCTTGTTCACCAGTCAAAGCCATAAAGAAACATTAAATCAATGAGTCTAATTCAAAGCCTATTTCAAAGATAGAATGGAAGTCAAATTAAATTTTATCATACTTTCAAGTATAGAAATGCATCACAGATATTTTGAGGTCTTCTAGCAACTCCACAAATCACAGCATCGCCTTCTCGCGACATTCCGTTGAAATAAACCGCGTCTATTGCCTGAAATAGATTGATACATGTTTATAATCAGAAAGAGGCGTTACATTTAACGAGCAGAGAGGTTTCCCTCAGAAATAGAAACCTCAGACTGTAACAGAAACCTCAGACTGTAACTATATTAAGCAGCCTTTTATAATGTTTAGCTGTAGGTATTAATGTGTTTTAGCTAATTACCTTCGGTGGATGTGATGGTTCTAGTAGGTGGTTTTAAATAATGTACACTCCGTACACCAACACAAACAGTTTATTTAATCACATACACACACAAGAAGTTTAAGCAACTGAAATTATCCGAAAAAACAAATACTTTTGTCCGAAACCAATGGTTCGTCAATATATTCGCAGCAGTGTAGTTCATTCAAATCTTTCAACTAACTGCCCTCAACTGGCTCACACATTACACCAATCTCGATCGCATGACGTAGAATTGTCCGTTTCCATTACGTCGTCGCGTCGTCCGGCAGACTCGTATCGTAACGTACATAACGTAAAAGTATTTTGTTGTGTGAATGTATATAGTACATGTATATATTATTGTTATTGTTATGTTATATTGTTGTATATATTATGTGTGTTGTGTAATTTATATATAGTAAATTAATATATATTATATATATATTTATATATATATATATATCTCTCATGTTTATATATTGTATATTATTGAATCCAAAATAATATTTAATAGTTATGTGGAGTAAGCCCACAAATGTAATGTATTTACCTGATGTAAAAATAGACTATAACGGGTGGAATGGCGTATTGTGAGCCCGCATGAGTAATTACCACCAACTTGCCGTTTTCTGCTGCGAAGCAGTAATGCGTTCTGTGTGCTTGGTTCGAGTTTTTTGACGTTCTCGATAGCGTAAAAGTGAACTCAAATTTGTATGCAGTTGGAACAGCGCCCCTAGCGGCAAACGTAGGCTAACGCTCCAACTCCATACAAATTTGAGTTAACTTTTACGCTATACAGTGTGCATAGTGCGAGTTTTTTAACGTTCTCGATAGCGTAAAAGTTAGCTCATATTTGTATGGAATGGGATCGTTTGCCTACGTTTGCCGCTAGGGGCGCTATTCCAACTGCATAGAAAATTGGGCTAACTTTTACGCTATCGAGAACGTTAAAAACACACTAAGTACACAGAACTTTAAAAAAGGCGCTGAGCACTGGTTCGAAGGGTAGGACAGTCATTAAACTATGCAATAGAAACTTAGACCTCACGTCTTAAAATGTATTATCGCCTTCACGTAGTAATATAGTAAATGGCCTCCAGAAACAATTTAAAATCATGTGGACCGTGAACTCACCCGTCAACATAATAATAAAAAATTCGTACCGATCATTAATGTAATCTATTCCAAAATTGTTATTTTACGGTAGAATCTCTAGACACACCTATGACAACTAGTTACATACGCGGGCGCAGGGTTTGAACTTGTCAATATTTAGAGTACACAGCTGAAATTATGATGTCGCAAAATAATAGAGTTTACATACTAACGGATTACTGCCGAGACAATACTTCTGTTCCAATTTTTTATCTTCTTCATGCACACGAATGTTTCCGTCTCCACTTTTGCCAACCTCAACGGCATGTTCGCGTTTCAAATACTTCAAGAACTAAAATCATAGTTACAGTAATAAATTACGAACGCCCTTAGAGCATCGAGTACATTCTGAGTGAAACAGACTTTTACATTTATAAATAAATTATTGTTTTACTAATTTATTACAAACTAGCTGACCCGGCAGACTTCGTAGTGCCTCAATCGAAAAATAAAAGACTTCGTCCGACGAGGGACACATCAAAGAGAATTTTGTTTTCTCTTTGATGTGATGATTGTTATTTTTATTTCATTCCAAGCATTTTCATATTTATTTACCTTTTAAGTTTTCTCTGGACTTCACAAATAATTCAAGACCAAAATTAGCCAAATCGGTCGAGCCGTTCTCGAATTTTAGCGTGACTAACGAACAGCAATTAATTTTTAGAGATAATTCTTTTCATCAAAAATTTTGTACTTTTAAAATATCCAATTTTTGCATTTGAGAAATTGTTTTTATGTAAAATTTAAAGCATATGTACCTTTCGCATGTGTCTAAGAAAAGAGACTGATACCGAAGCGTACTATATGGTACAAATATTACTTATTCCATCTTTAATAAAGTAATAACGTAGTAGAAGTATAAAATAAAAAGTAAGAATAAATTATATAGCCTTATAGTTTATATTAACTTCATTCATACAATTTTGTGATGTATGTAGTGTAAATTCCGTGTTGCCTTTAATATTGACAGTCTGTTCCGAAAAAAAGCGGCCAAACACCATTTACCTAAATTAACCAAAATGCTTCTACTAAAGAATGTTATTCTTTATTAGGTATTTGTCTATTAATTAATAGAGAAATGTTTATACATAGAATTTATTAAATTTTGTGGATCTACTCACAAAGTACATTAGTTAACCAAACTAAACTTACTTGTCTAACGCGCAAAATTGTATACATAAATATGAATTTTGGCCAAAAAAGTTTGTTCTTCTGTTGATAAATACCAAATATTGCCGGCTTCCTTTTTTTATTCAAAAAACGAAATACTTCCACAATTAAAGCAGAAATAAGCGTAGAAATAATTAAGGTTAACATTGTCACTGATTTTATAAACTGTTGCTAACAATATAGTTGTTACTAAGTATATAATTTTGTGTTATAATTATCGTTATCAACACAGAAACGAAAAATTGAAAGTCTACGATTCCGTCAGACCTAATTTATCTTATCATTTTCATTGATTAACCGTGATTAAACGAACGGTACCTATTACCCACACACTATAAAAAATTACGACACTCCGACCTTATGTCGTAGGCCAAGTGGCAGTATTTCTTTGTCTATTTGAAGTAATAAAGCTGTTCACTCCAATTTTATTCATTTATTTAGGGCACAGATTCCTGAACGATCTTACGGCCCAATTGGATGTTGCCAACATGACGTGAATGTTGCTACCACACCAAGAATTTTTCCTAACGTAACCTATTAAGTGTCCAAGGGAGCTGTTAACAAGCTCGGAGCAATTTTTTTCTGGTCCATAGTTAGCAGTAGTCCATAGCGAATAGTTAAAATTGCTATTAGGTAGTTAAAATTTATAACTAGACATACAAGAACAATGTCAATAAAAATTGCTCTCTACTTGTACGAAATAAAATTAAATATGGTACGTACTTTATAACTTGTTGGACAGATAGAAAACATCTGACAAAAAACTATCAGTATTGAAAATAAATTTGTCAGGTGTACTGAGCGGAATATAGACAATAGCTTTTGGAAAATGTTTTCCGCTTTGTCAAAAGTATATATAAAATTGAAATCGTTAAAATAATAGACAAAAGAAAAATTAGAGACAAACTTTATTAGCAGTTTACAGACGAAAAATCTTAAGTTAATTTATAAACATATAGCTTTACAGTTACTCTGCAGTAGCCAACAAATGTTTGTGAACGCATTCCTCTTTGTTAATGAGATGTGTTGTTTTATTGACAAGTTGCATCAATGTGTTCAGATTGTTCGACCATTCGTTGAGACGATCTGACGCGTCCATATTCAGGCTGTAACGAAAATCATAGAGTTATGTCACACTTTTTTTATTATAGTTTCTCAGATTAAAATTCATCATCACCATCATTATCAGCCTATAGCAGTCCACTGCTGAACATAGGCCCAAAAAAAGGGCCTGTATATGTATATACTTTGATGTCGTTGTGGCCTAACGGATAAGACGTCCGGTGCATTCGTGTTGAAGCGATGCACCGGTGTTCGAATCCCGCAGGCGGGTACCAATTTTTCTAATGAAATACGTACTCAACAAATGTTCACGATTGACTTCCACGGTGAAGGAATAACATCGTGTAATAAAAATCAATCCCGCAAAATTATAATTTGCGTAATCACTGGTGGTAGGACCTCTTGTGAGTCCGCACGGGTAGGTACCACCACCCCGCCTATTTCCGCCGTGAAGCAGTAATGCGTTTCGGTTCGAAGGGTGGGGCAGCCGATGTAACTATACTGAGATCTTAGAACTTATATCTCGAGGTGGGTGGCGCATTTACGTTGTAGATGTCTATGGGCTCCAGTAACCACTTAACACCAGGTGGGCTGTGAGCTCGTCCATCCATCTAAGCAATAAAAAAAAAAAAAAAAAATACACATATATGGATATATACACATTTCAGATGTTAACGAATCGTTCCCGAATATGAAGAAAAGTTATGCTCTATGTATATGGTGATTCTTTATAATAATATGATAAATAGAATACATACCTAAAGTGTACAACGCCAGCTGGACGATCGATCTTGGCTTTAACAACTGCACTCACAACAAGCTGACTCAGGGCCTCTTCTGTTTCCGTCTCGCTCAGACCAAGAAGTTCACTCATACGTTTGAGCGTGATGCGAGTATAGTACATTGACATTATGCGAATATTCTGCAATGATAAAATTACAATTCCATTTAGTTTATTGCCTTCGTAAGCAGATAAGTCAAGGTAGTCAGTGTCGTTTGTGGATGTCAGCAATGCCAAGGAAACAGCCAAGCACTTGCCTACTATTGAGGACTTTCCGCAAATTTCAAGAAAGATGTCATAGCGATTGTGAAACACTGCGGAGGGAAGTTCATTGGAAAGGCGGTTGGAGGTTTTCATACGGTACGTAGGAAAAATATATCTAGGAATGCACTTTCGATGAATGCAGAGGTTCCAGATGAATGAGCTATGAATGAACGAACTATGAATGAATGAATGAACTATGAATGAGTGAATGAATGATGAATTAACTATGAATGAACTCCACCCCAGTGGTAAGAGAAGCGATTTTAAAAGAAAATTAAGGCATCCATCCTATTCCTCACTTCGATAAAGCGGCACGACACGAGAACCCTCTCATCGTGGCCGCCGGTAACTAAATTCCTGATCCTGCGGAAAGAATGGAAAGCAGTCGACGTCGCCCAAAACACGTCATCTCGGATCCTCCCGATCCACTAACGGTGCTTCTAGATACTTCAAGCACCGGTCACCGTTCTCTTCGAACCCATCGCTTGTGACGAAGGGCTCGACGAGCAAATTAACCCTCAGACACAGCCCACTGAGTTTCTCACCGGATCTTCTCAGTGGGTCGCGTTTCCGATCCGGTGGTAGATTCTGCGAAGCACGGCTCTTGCTAGGGTTCGTGTTAGCATCGTCATCAGGTTTGAGCCCCGTGAGCTCACCTACTAGTTACGGTTACGCTGGAATAGCCTCTCTAGGCTAACCCGCAAGATTATAATTTGCGTAATTACTGGTGGTAGGACCTCTTATGAGTCCGCACGGGTAGGTACCACCGCCCCGCCTATTTCTGCCGTGAAGCAGTAATGCGTTTCGGTTTGAAGGGTGGGGCAGCCGTTGTAACTATACTTGAGACCTTAGAACTTATATCTCAAGGTGGGTGGTGCATTTACGTTGTAGATGTCTATGGGCTCCAGTAACCACTTAACACCAGGTGGGCTGTGAGCTCGTCCACACATCTAAGCAATAAAAAAAAAACAGCTTAGGTAGGAAAAAAAAACCTATTCCTCACAGCACTCTGTGGAACATATAGTACAAATCCCAAATTGAAATAAAGGCCATATATCTGCTGTTCTGTGACTTATCAGCACGAACTTAAATAGTTTTGGGTTGAAAGACTATCCGTTGGCCTGGAGGCTTTGACGAGTGGGCGAACTCGAGAGCTCAGCCTAGAAAGAAGTAGCTTCCAAAAGTGTTTTTATATTCAAACACGTGACAAAAACCATAGCGCGATTTAGAAAACCAATATCATCGCCACACATCGAAGTATTAACTGAAAATATTCTTAATTTTGTTTTTGGAAAATGACTGAGTCTTTAATAAATAAAACCATTTTTTTCCATCAAAAGCTATCCCATACCTTTATGCATGATGCCTGCACAGCCTCTACCGGTTTATTTTTACAAATTTGGGATGAGTTAGTATTTGTAGCTAGAGGTGTACGGTGTCTTGATTCGCCAATGAATACCTCAAGAGATTTTGTACATATTGTATAATCATCCGACCTCAACCTCAGCTTTAAGCATTATATTGAAACATTACAATAATGAATATCTTATAAAAATAGGTTAATGTCATACTAACATGTTCAACAACTCTGTTCTTAAGATCGTTCCAGCGTTCTTGACCCTTGTCGTCTGACGCGTCAAAGTACGGTGTGGCCCGAAGCATCTTCTCGTAAGAAGAACATAGAGTGTTCCATCTGATGATCTCAGGATTTATGAATAGACGTAACAATTCTCTGAAAGTAATAAACAGCTTAGATAGACATATGGCACACCTGGTGTCAAGTGGTAAACCGAACCCAAACACCTTAATAGCAACTTAGCTGGAAATATGAATTCAAAAATAGGCATGGTGGAGGTATTTACCCATGTGGGCTTTCAAGGCACTCTAACACCAAGTATTATGTAAATAAATATTTTCGCAATTTGATTTATATGACATTGTTTTTTGTTCCTCATGGAAGTCATTTGTGATGATATCTTAATTACCTATTTGATTACAAAATCGGTACCTCTAGCCTGCAGGACATGATTGCATGATTGCTTGATACAAATGCACCAGGTGTTTTAACTTTTGGGCCATTATAACTACAATACTCACATTCAGAGTCAGTATCTTTTTACTGGTGGTAGGACCTCTTGTGAGTCCGCACGGGTAGGTACCACCGCCCCGCCTATTTCTGCCGTGAAGCAGTAATGCGTTTCGGTTTGAAGGGTGGGGCAGCCGTTGTGACTATACTGAAACCTTAGAACTATATCTCAAGGTGTGTGGCGCATTTACGTTATAGATGTCTATGGGCTCCAGTAACCACTTAACACCAGGTGGGCTGAGAGCTCGTCCACACATATCAGCAATAAAAAAAAAAAAAAAAAAAAATATCTTTATTTACTTACTTATAATCAGGAAGTTTATCCAACTCCTTATCTTCATTTACTCTATGTGTGAGATCTGCCTGTTCATTGTCATATGGTGCCAATATAAGGAATACAACACTGCCAATAAGTGCTTCAGGGCCCCCAGCAGTTCCTAAAGCTCGGAAATGCCGACAGACTGACAGATATTGTCCATTATGCTGGTCCACAGCTATCATCAGTCGGTAAAACTTCTCTTTCAGCTCCTGAAAATAAAAATTAAATATGTATTCAAAGCAATAATTAATATTGAATTATTTGAGGGTTAAACACTTTTGTTATCCAACAAATAATATGATAGATGCAGCCTACTACTAACTATGCATGTATGTTTTTTTTTTTAAAACAGATCACGAGGAATTATGTAGTTGAAGAACTAACCTGAGTATTTTCGTCTTCAAAAAATTTTGTATTGATTTTCTTTGATATGATCTGTGTACGGACATAATCTTTGATAGCAAGACACAATCTCATCTGTTCCAGAATTAACTCAACTTTTTCCCTCTTGTCCATTGAACCATATGTCTCTACTTGAAGTTCTTGTATTATTTTTGCAGCCTCTGCTACATTGCCTTCTTCTTCTCGAATTTTGGCTAAAATATGAGTCAGTCTCGCTCTTTCAACTTCTACATAGATCTTTCCTTCTGTTATGGTTCTCAATGTTTCAATTAGTTTTATCTTTGTTTCTTTATCGGGTGTTTTGTCTACATAAGTGTAGCATTCCTGAACCATTTTAACAACAGCTTGTTTTAATTGGGATCTGGAAACATTTTAATGTAAAAAATACCTGATCATACTCAGTTTTTTTCATTTTTGAATGCTATTACTGTTTTTGAGTTTTTGAGTTATTCTGATTTTGTTTTCCTTTATTTTTTTTACATATTTATATTATAGTTATAATTATAAAAATATATTTAAATATTTTCCTATTTCCTAGTTAAAATAAATTTCACTATAGTTAATATGAAATTGAAGAACTAAGAAAGATGAATATTATGTTATATTTTTTGTGACATTTTGAGGATGTCTCAGAAATCATTGTACAAAAATAACAATACTCTCATAATTAATCATTAGAATTACACAAGCCCAAACTAAACTATATAAATTTATTTACTACCTTCTTTTGGACAAAACAACTATATGATCATTGAGAGCAGACCAGTTCTTAGCTTCAAAATATATCTGAACCACTGTCACTAGGATTCTTGAAGTGGAAACCATATCGGCACCCTGGAAATAACACCACATTATTAAATTACAAATTTACTATAAATCACTGTAGGTACTATTTATATTGAAAATTCTAGAAATAATAATATATGTATAAAATGTATTTTATTACTGAACAACTTGTGTTGTCCAGATCCAATCACAAAATAAATGCCACCGTTAACCGAATGAGGTGGAAATAACCACCATAATTAAATAATTTCTTGATAAAGTTTCCTTTGACCACATTTAAGAGTATTCAGACTAAGATTATGTTTTTGTCTCTTCATAATAATAAGAAAGTATTCATGTATATAGATAGTACTTGGCACCAACCAGCTTATACCAATAACCTTAAGCTTGCACTCCCAGTATTCTACAGCAATTTCAATCATATGGTTCATAAGTTTTCATTATGCATTTTTTTTAAAAACATGGAAAACTCTTTCAAATGTTCAATTTGATAAGAGTTACAATGAATTAGATATGGTATTATTCATTCAATTCACTATTCAACACAACACTGCTAATGATCTTATTTTATTGAAAGTATTTTTTTCGTTTTTAACCTTGCAATATTATAAACTTTAATTAATGGTAATTGGTAGTTTAAAAATAGTAACAGAAAAAGGAGTTTAGTAGAATAAGAAGATATTTAAAATTTGCTAATTAACAAGAGCAGAAAATATCAAAATTTTGTAGGGATGGTTTTATGTTAGAATTACTTTTATATTGGAAATTATTATTAGTGACTTGCAATTTTCAATCAATACAGTACTTACAGTCCTAGTCTGTTTTTCAAGAGCCAATAACTGATCGATAGCTTCTTGAATTTTGCCTTGGGCTGCCCATGATTTCCACAAGGGCAGTTTCTCATCACATGTTGCACTATAGTCCACCTTAAAATTAATAATGTTAAATTATACTATCAATTAAAGAACATATTTGACAAAACCCTAAATAGCTGATGATATTTTAAAGGTAAGTTGGCTTAGGTAAAAGTTCCAAACAGCAAAATTCTTACAATTGGTTACCGAGTAATATTTGTTCTCTGGAAAATCTACCCATTTTCTTTACCCTAAAATTGCAAAGAACAACAACACACAAATGTAATGAACGCTTATACTGTGAACACAATAGGGTTAAGTCTAGTGATGAATATAGCCTCATTTGTGAACTTACTTCCATTTTTATTATTTTTCCACTAGCATCGAGACCGCCGATATCTCCGTTTGTAGTCATTTTGAAAAACTGAAACTTAAGACATAGAATTAGACCAAGTGAGTTTTGGCAAGTGTTTATTGGTTCATTATTTTAAACATAATTACTTTATATGTTTATACCAAAACAATCTTCTGAACTCAGTAAACGTAACAATACACAAAATAATTGCCTGCGTTATAAATTCTACTAATTTATCAAATCACTATTCGTATTCCAAACCCACAAGTCACGATCTCTAAATTTTCAAAGCTTTCAAACGTCAGTGTCAATTTTTTTTTTTATTAATGGCTTAGATTTTTATTTTTTAGCCATGTGTTTATATAAAATTGTTCATTTCAATCTAAAATAATTTCGAATAGAATGAAATGAAGTTGATTACTCGGAAATTATCGTCAATTGGGAAAAATTTAAATGAAATTACATGAGATGAGATGAGACGAGATAAGACGAGACGAGATGAGATGAAATGAAACAAAATTTCAGTAAATGATGGGACTTTATTGAAGAGTCTTCAATGCACTTTTTAGAAGAGGCTGATAATTTACGTTCAGTTACTTTGTTGGTTTTCCCCACACTTTTGTACTTTCACAAAAAACATACAGTTATAACCATTAGTACATTATCAAAACACACACCGAAACTGCAATAAAAAATAAGTGGCACAAAAATATATTTATTGACTCCAACCAGGAATTGTCCAGTATTGTACGGTAAAATAGTCCTGATCACTAATTACTTGACACAGGAGGTGGTCAAGGGCTGACAGTTGGGAAACTAATCATAAATCGTGCCTACGTAGTTCGAGTTTTGGCGTGAGTCTGAATATCTTGTCGTGTATTGCTTTACTATTATTTTGCTTTACTTATCTATTGTTTGTTTGGAACGTATACTTCTGTGGTTTAGAAAGAGGTAGTAATGTGTCAACAAGCGATTTAAGTTTGTGAAAGTCTAGGAAAACGTCATGAAATCGCTTGATAAGTTCCCAAGTTCCCAAAACATATTGAAAAACTGGAAAAAATATATAAAAATGTAGAAAAGGAATAAATATCATTAAGTAAGAGTAAATTAACCCTCAGGAACAGCCCACTGAGTTTCTCTTCTGACTTTCTTAATGTGTCGTGATTCCAATTCAATGGTAGATTTAGCGAAGAACTGTCCTTACTAGGGCCAGTGTTAGCCATTATCTCAGGTTGAGCCCCGTTAGTTCACGCAAAAGTGGGAATAGCCCTTTGTCAAATTATCTAATAATGAATTGGATTACTACTATTAACAATCGCCGATACGGGTAACGAGCCTACGGACCACCTGGTGCTAAGTTTCCTATACGATACGATGAGTTAAATAAGTATCATTAGAAAAATTGGTGCCTATAGGATTTGAGAACGGGTGGCATGGCCCCAGGCCTAATAAAAGCAAGCATGAGTTACTCAATGTTAAAAATCATTGAACTTCACAAATCATTAAGCCAGCCATTTTTACATCTTCATTAACTTACACTAACATAGTTTGTTATTCAATTTTTAGTTATTAATTTTGATACAATCCGAGTATTCCGACAATTTTTTTCAAATTTTAATTGTAATGATTCTGAATTTGACATAATCGTTCAAGGAAAGAAAGAGATAAATTTTGTTGTAGCTGAATGCTAAACATATCAATTTAAAAATGTACCATGACATGGAGCATGGCAACTTGTCTGAAACTCGCAAAATATGGCGTAGTGGTGTCGAGTAAACTTACGTTTTGTATGTGATTATTTTAGTTTATGACGCAAATCGAATAAGATTGTAGTAGTTTAATCGGTTAAGTTTTATGCTAAGTTAAATTTAAGGCATATGATTGCAGTTGTGGTCGTAAACTTGAAGTTAATTTTTTTTCTTTGTGTTTTCCAACATATGTTGGACTACTTTTGTATTCTTAAAAAAACTGTAAATCGATGCTATACAGAATGAGTTTAAGCAGAAAGTTTGAAAGTCTAGGTTCTGGTAGCACTAAAGGAGCGAGAAGCCATTCAGCTCATGGCATTTCCAGAGGTATATCTAGTCCTTCCATGAAAATACCATTACCACCTCGATTATGGATAACAGGTAATTAGTGTCATAATAAAATTGAAAATGCCACAATTTTGTTGCTGATCAATTACATTCCTCGTTTCTTACTAAAATATTCGTGGCTCATTAAATGATAACAATGTTAGTGTTGTGAATTGCTATTAATATAATGAAATATTAGAAAAAATTGGAATATTAATTTGTTATAAACTTTTGTTAGATATAGAAGACGACTCATCAGATGATTTTGATAGTTGTTCGAGAGAAGATGGAGTCTTTACAGCTGAAAGAGCTAGAGTGCGGTCACGCCACAGGGTTCATAAACAAAGATCAGCTAGTGTGCCTATTGGAATATTTTGGGATATTGAGAATTGTCAAGTAAGTTAATTATTGCAATGTTAATAGTTACAGTAATCTGATTATATTAAATATTTTTATCAATATATATCTGGTTAAATTAAAATATATATGAATACTAAGAATATGCTTCTTATTATGCTTCTTATAATATATTCAAACTTTGATTTAAACATAGATTCGACGACGACGACGAGATAGACATAGATAGACATAGCTCACAGCCCACCTGGTGTTAAGTGGTTACTGGAGTCCATAGACATCTACAACGTAAATGCGCCACCCACCTTGAGATATAAGTTCTAAAATCTCAGTATAGTTACAACAGCTGCCCTATCCTTCAAACCGAAACGGATTACTGCTTCACGGCAGAAATAGGCAGGGCGGTGGTACCTACCCGCGCGGACTCACCAGGTCCTACCACCAGTAACATCAATGGTATGTTGTGAAAGACCATATCAAGTGATCTGTGCAATCTAAGATGAAACTTAGTTGTTCATTCAATAGTGAATTTATCAAACCATACTATCAAAGGAAAGCCACTCTTATATGGATTCTGCTTGATCTAATAAGAAAGTTTTAATTATTGTTACTGATTATTTCTGTTTATATAAATTTTATTTGGTTTTTAATGTATAACACTTGAGTAATAAAATTAAATGTAATTATCAGATTAATAGCTGCTAGCTATTTTTGTTTTATCATTTTAATTTTTTAATCAATATTACTGGTTTGATTAAAGGTCAACAGTTTATTGTGTTTACTTTGAGCATACATTGTTTGCAATCTGACTGTAGTTAAACTTTGATCTTTGTTATGAAAGAAACTAAAGGTGGATTGAAATTTCATATCAGATATTTTTAGCAGTACTAAAATGTAAACATTAAACAAAATTTATTACAGTTAAATAATATATTATGAATACTGCCTATTGACATGGGGCAAGAGAGAGAAGACTATATTATTAAATAAGGGTGCTCTCTAAAATTCCTTGACTCTTCCTAAAATCTATATATTAATACGTGAAGCAAAAACTTTGTATCCCTTTTTACGAAAATTGCGCAGACAGAGGAGTATGAAATTTTCCACGCTTATAGAGAATATAGAGAAGAAGTGCACAATGCTAATATTTTTTTTAAATGATGCATAAAAGATATGTTAAATCAATAAAGAAAAACTTACACTACATACCATGTATTTGACGCACACATGCATGCATACTATTTATTGTCAAACTTTTGTTCTTGGCGTCTTGTCAAATTGAGAATAGATTAAATATTGTTTGCCTTTGTTAATATTTTTTATAGTGTAGTTTTGGAGAAATTTGTGATTATAGAAGTGTAAAATACAATCATAATAGTGTACAAAATTACAATTCCAATTATTTATAGTCGAATTTCGACTACTGCGGGGCCTCTAATCTTTATGAATTCATAAATTGTGAGAATGTCATGCAGAAATGAAACCTTCTAATTGTATTTTTAATTAGAGTAAATGCAAATAAATATTATTGGACATATCTGTCAATATTGTTATAGGTACCCCGTGGGTGCTCTGCAATAGATGTTGTAGCAGCAATCCGTGCCAAATTTCTAGCAGGGAGGAGAGAGGCTGATTTTGTGGTAGTATGTGATGTACGTAAGGAGTCTGCATTTAGATTGCAGGAGTTAAACGATGCGCAAGTAAGTAAAGTATTCTAGTCATTACTTTGGGTCTAATCTATTAGTGTCCTCTTCTCAATCATGTCACTCTTGACAGAGTGGTCGTGATAGTGTTGGAGGGGGCAGACTTGATGCATATCACATTGTCTCACCATCTTTTCCTGCACGAGGCCATTTTACTGAACTCATTTAGGAGACCTCCAACTGTAGTTACTCTACACTGTTTTAGTGGAAACAACAATTACTAAACCAAATTATCATTTAAAATATCATTATGTGTTAAGTTATGCTATTTTAATGTCAAAAATATGATTAAAAACCATAGTAAAAAAATTTTAATCCTTACAATATTCATGGTAAGGAACATGTTATATTTAATAATGTTAAAAAACATACTAGATAAGTACAAAAAGTAAGTTTAAAATTTTTATAGAAAAAAAGTTGTTATATCGCCTGCTAAGAATGTCACTGCCTTATCTTTTCCCATAGGCGTCGTAAAACGTTTTTTGAGCATGCATAATATCTGTGTACTGCACTCCCCAATAGGCATTTACTGGCGGTGGGCCTGTTGGAGGCCCGCACATTCCATATAGAAGGGTGGGACAACCTATATACAATATAACCTTGACCTCATGTCTCAAAGTTAGTGAAGTTACCATTTGATGTTCATGAGCTTCGTGATAACTAGTTTATATCGTTAGCCATATTCTTGTCTAAACATTACCTCCTGTCCCTTCCCTTTTTTTTAGCTTTGTTTTAGCCCCGTTTAGCCCTTCAATTTATCCACCATTTATTCATCACTTTCAATTCATGAAATCATTAAGCATTGTGCTAGCTGATTAAAAAATATGCCAATTACAATATACATATATACATAGTACCTTAAGGTAACAAATAATGGTATGTTGTGAAAGATTCATTAATATCAAAACAAATCAATTTTAAACAGGTAAGCCTGATTCACGTTTGCGGTACTCAGAAGAATGCAGCTGACGAGAAACTAAGGCAATGTATGCGTCGATTCGGAGAACTACACACCGCTCCGGCGTCGCTATTGTTGATCTCAGGGGATATCAATTTCGCAGCTGACTTGTCAGATTTTAGACATAGGTACTTATGTGTTATCGCCGCTTGAGAAATACGAAACGCTTACGTTCGCTAAGTTATTCCTTGAAAATGAAAGACATACGATAAGCTTTTTCTGCATAAATGTAATGTAATACTATTCAGAACATTCTATCTAGTACATCAAGTAAATCAGTTTAATATAAATATAACTTCAACTTTTATAATTCAATTCTGAAATGTTTGCTTTTAAGATGCATTGATTGGCTTGTTAACCTCTTGAGTATTTAATATTTATTATAGTATTTATTTATCAGGAAAAATATGGAAGTAATATTGGTGCATAAACAGAACACATCGATGGCTTTAATAACGTGTGCAACTGCACATTATTGCTTTAATGATCTGACCGTCAACCTGCCCCGAAATCCAAAGGTATAAGGAAGAATACATATTAAATCTATCATGAACTTATGATGAATAGGATATGAAATGGCTTTAAACACAGGAAAAAAAAGAAAAAATATCTGTCATAGAAATGTTTCTACTAAAAACCTTTATTTTATTTATAATGTGAACTTCTAAATGATGGTAGAATAATACGTTAGCTTTTTCTTTCGTTTTTGTAACTTTATTTTTTATTGACTTTAAGACTGATAATTGTCCGATATCATAATTTTTTTTATTCCATTTTTATATTGAATGTAGTATGATGTATATTAGTAGTATATATGTATAATTTGTATATATTTATAAAACAGATGTTAAGTTTTTCGAACGACGACGAAGAGGAACCGACATGTGTGATGCATGTATCGAATCTTCCGATGGACCAAACTCCTGAGAGGGTGTCCCGAAGACTGCGAAGGCTGGCCGATAATTGTGGAGGAAAAGTTCTACGGGTTATGGCGACCACGGCAATGTTACGTTTCCCAACACCGGACCATGCCTCGAGGTGAGCAGTCTATAATCGAAGTTTAATAATACATTCGACTTTAGTCATTAGAATTTTGCAGTTTGACAATCAATTATTCTACATATATCTGTATTTCTTCTTATTCTACCCTACTTAATCGTCGGTAGCCTAAGGAGCTATTTCAACTACGCGTGGACTGAAGTCACGGATTCAACCTGATAGAACTTGCTAACCCTGGTTTACTGGTGGTTGGACCTCATGTGTGTCCGCACGGGTAGGTACCACACCCTGTCTATTTCTGCCGTGAAGCAGCGTTTCGACTTGAAGAGTGGGGCAGCCGTTGTAACTATACTGTGACCTTAGAACTTATATCTCAAGGTGGGTGGCGCATTTACGTTATAAATGTCTATGGGCTCCAGTAACCACTTAACACCAGGTGGGTTGTGAGTTCGTCCACCTACCTAAGCAATAAATAAAAACCCTAGCCCTAGCAAGAGCTGTGCTTCGCCGAATCTACCACCGGAATGGAATCGCGACCCACTGAGAGAATCCGGTGAGAAACTCGGTGGGTTGTATCTATGGACTAGTTCGCACGTCGAAGCACATGTACAATATAATAACTAAAGCTTAACATAAAAAAATGACATTTATTAACAGTCTGGCTTTGTTATTATTTCACTTAACGACAAAAACAAGTCCGCTGTCTAAAAAATAATTGAAATTGTATCTTCTGTATTATTCGATTCAAACTTCGAAAAATAGACTGAAAATACTATGATACATGTTAGTCTTTGCAAACTCTATCTATAATTATACTTAACTCAAAGAGCTAGTAACTCTAATGCCAAGATTAATGTTCAAAGCCCTTCGTTGCACAGAATTGACACTTAATTACAATTTATTATCACTTCGTTTAAACGTTTAGTAAACATTATTCAATACACGCTGTTGAGAACGAACTGAATCTGAATTTTATGTACTTTTCTGAATTTGAATGTTTGAATGAAAATGCAGGCCCATCAATTATGTATTCAGTACCTAAAACTATTATTCACGGCCTCCATAAATAAGTAAACGAAGCGAAATTATTTGTAAAACGGTTTTGTGTTTGTGTTTTAATTAGTATTTTTATTTATTTATATTAATTAGTTAATTAAGCATAATAGATACCATATCGTGTATGCTTCCTTAAAGGTCGAAATGAGATCGAATTCTGAATTGCGCTGTATAGCGGCGCCCCTGATAGTTAAACTTAAAAATATAAATTAATCATAGCAAGCGGCTGCAATAGGTGACATGAGCACCTGTCGAGTACCTCTCGGGGTTCGGGTCAAGTAAGGACATACGAAAACATAGAATTAGTATACTATTAAAAAAATAAATCTGTATAAAACTATACAAAAATCAGTCGTTACACCATAACGTTTTATGTAAAATACAAAAATTAACATATTTAATAAATATAATCGAGATGACAATGAAAACGATTGCATTGTTAGCTCTTGGCGTAGACTACACAGCTGATTCATTGAAATTGGACTTCACATTTGAATTTAAATGAGTCTACCCTCGTTTTGTACATATCACAAATCAGCTGAGCGGCAGTTATGCGCGGTCAAACGTTCATTACATCCCACGTCATAATCGAGAAAAGTGGCACGCGTTTTTTAGGTTACGTTACAGAGTAAAACGGTTCTCATCCGGATTATTGTGGAATCTTCATTAAATTAATGTTTTGCTAAACGAATGTAACATGCTATTATCCGGGTAAGTCACAGTACAAGTCATTGGCTAAATTTGATTTCTAGTGAAGTACCCAATGTAATTATTAGAGGCTTCGAGATCTGTATTCCAAACGTACTTATAGATAAAATGTAATTAGTATAAGAACAAAAAAATACCTAGGTCTTTTTACCTTAGGGTAAATTGTTCATTAATTTTGTTAGTCTCAATGGCGGTATCGTTAAATTTTGCTACTGAATATTTAATTTAAATTATACTTTTGATCACTTGGAAAAGTTTATAATTGAACAGTTTTAGTGATTGGTCGTTCTTATCGAAATCTTTTTTTTTGTACGTTGCTTGTTCAATGATTTAATGCGATAATCTCCGTTAGTCATGGCCTCTGATGTTTTTTTTTGTTTTTTTTGGCTACAATTAATTTCATGGGTGCCGATCGCGTTTCAATTCGTTAGTTTTACGGTTTGCCTTCGGAAATTGCGTGGATGTTTCTCGAATGAAATGAAAAGTAAAATTAATTTAATGCGATTATCTTAATCAACAACAGCTGACTTTTGTTGTCTACCTTCGGATGATAATATTGAATCAATTTCACTAAAGACCAAGATATCGATTTGTTCTATTGTTTTTAATTATAAATACGCAAGTGTTTTGAAAGTATTCGATATGAAACTACATTTTTGTTAAAAATGTAAATGTAGAAATTTGTGTATTGCTATCTGCAGAGCCTTGAAGCGTATGGACGGTGAGGATGTTTTCGGTCGGAAAATAAGCACACGCTATGCACGTACCACGATACAGCCGACGTATTCCAGTGATGAAGGTTACAGTACCGCGCCCGCTGCTCTTCCCATGCCACGGGCTGCGTTTGTACCACCGGCCCACCAGGTAACCCAACATGAACAACGAGATACTGTTTACAAATAATTTCCCAGTTTTAGCAATGCTATTAGAATGAGCTTTTATAATTGAATGTGTAATTTCGAAAAGGGCAAATCTCTGAAAATGTAAAATGTTCAGGAAATGAAAAAAACTGATTAATTTCTAAAGCACTGTAAAATTTAAAATACATATTAACTTTTGAGATATATTTTAGTGTTAATTAGCAATTGAAAATTACTGGAATTATTATAAAATGAGTGTAGGTAGGCCTCAAAACTACTAGTATATGAAAAAACCTATTTAACAAAATATGCGGCATGTGCCCTTTTCGAAATTGCATATTTAATGAAGTGAAATATTTTTATTTACGATTTAATGGTGTTCGATGGGAATAAATAAATTCTTGCTCCAATAGTCATAAGAAAACATTGGCTACGTTTTTATTAACACGTTCGACTGCCGTGTAGGCCACCGGTGCCCTACGCGGCGCACTGAAGTAATTATGTCGATTTCTGTTACTAAACGCGCCTGGATTGTCTAACTTTACGGTAGGCAGCGGCTTGGCTCTGCTCCAGGCATTGCTGAAGTCCATGGGCGACGGTAACCACTAATCATTAGATGGGCCGTATACTCGTCTGCCTACAAGGGCAATAAAAAAAACTGCCTTCTTTTGTTTGTTATCAAAGTATGTTTTAAACTTTTAGTCATGCTTCATTATCTTCGGATTTGTCTTTCACAGAGTCTACTAGATATTCCGGCGCCTTAGTAAGGAGATCGAAGAGAGAAATCGACATAATTATTTCAGTGAGCCATGTAGGACACCGGTGATCGGAGGACAACGAAACTGCTATTAGACTGATAAAATTATATGAGTGCTCACATCAACGTCGAGTTCTATTGCAACATATTCCTCTTTTTTTAAATTGTTCTTAGTCTTAGTTCAGGCTGTTTGCTTCTAGTCGAGGCTGCTCGACCCGAGCTTGCCTCCAGTGGATACCCCGCTTTATGATAAAAAATTATCGATAGCCGTTTGTTGTGGCTGAGCCAAATATTTATGTTGTGTCACTTGTTGAGTTTGTCGGCCCAGGTGAGCGTGTCTGCTCAGGAGGCGAGCACGTGTGTGGCCCGCGAGTGGGCGCTGGCCTTAGAGCAGTTGCCGACTCCCACGCCGCCCCCGCTCGAGTTCTGCCCGCCTCCAGCGCCCAAGCCGCGCAAAATAAGGGGCACCCATGGTCAGTATATTCCCACCCGGCCTTATTGCGCTCTAAATCAGATTGTTGACTTGTAGGAGCGGTAGTACTTAAGCTTTACTGGTGGTAGGACCTCTTATGAGATGTGCATGGCTATGGCCTTCAGTAACCACTTAATACCAGGTGGGCTGTGAGCTCGTCCACCCACCTAAACAATAAATTTAAAAAAAAAGCTGCTTCAAGTCACTAAATTGTCTAGGCACTGACCCAAAGGATAGGTAACGCAGTCAGAATGAATATTGTTTTGTCGTTTACTTAACGTATATTGTATATAAGATAAGATTTAGGTACAACATAGTTAGAATACACTTCAGTAACTCAGTATAAAGATAGATGGAGGATACCGGATTCCATAGACATCTACAACGTCTGCCCCATCTTTCAAAGCGAAACGTATTACTTGCTTCACGGCAGAAATAGGTAGGGCGGTGGTACCTAACCGTGCGGACTCACATGAGGTCCTACCACCAGTAATTACGCAAATTTTATTTAAATTTTTAATTTTGCGGGTTTGATTTTTATTACACGATGTTATTCCTTCACCGTGGAAGTCAATCGTGAACATTTGTTGAGTACGTATTTCATTAGAAAAATTGGTACCCGCCTGGGGTTCGAACACCGGTGCATTCGTGTTCCGGACGTCTTATCCTTTGGGCCACGACGGTCACAGCACTACCGCATTCCTCAGGATGGACATGAACTCGCGCGCCTACAGTATTTTTTTTTTTCCCGATAGGCTCTGTTAATCTAGACCGATCGGGTTGTTCGTCGAGTAACAGCGGTGACGACAGCCGTAACCGGGACCACAGTCAAAGCCGGGCTGTCTCGCCCTGGAACTCGTCCGCCAGCTTCAGCGAGCACAGCGAAGGAGAACTGGAGCTCACTGAACTCACCGTCACTAACTTGCCGCCATACGAGCCGACCATTTTACAAGTCAGTACAAAAAAATAGTATAATTTTGGCAACACTTTTCACGATTTAATTGATTTTTTTTTATTGCATAGATGGGTGGACGAGCTCACAGCCCACCTGATGTTAAGTGGGTACTGGAGCCCATAGACATCTACAACGTAAATGCGCCACCCACCTTGAGATATAAGTTCTAAGGTCTTAAGTATAGTTACGATTATTAAATATGAAACGACATGATTTCGTCCATATCTTCTTCCTCTTTATTTTTTGGCTCCGGCACGGTTTGTGCATTACCCAGTGTCGAGTAATACTATTTTTATAATTCGTCGTTTTAATTATTTACAGTTTATGAATAATAAAAAACGAAGGAAACTAATCGCGACATAACATAAATCAATAAAAACGAATTAAGTTTACAAATGAGATGATATGTGATGAAATATAATCTCAGTAAAATGGTGGTCATTTATTGAGACTTTTTCAGTGGACTTTTTGGAGGATCCCGAGAAGTTACGTCCAGCGGCTTTGTTTCATTTTCCCATAATTGTGCACTTTTAAAGATTCTAAATACTTCATAAACTACCGTTACCTATTACACATTGAAACCTGAAGAAACACTAAATAGATAAAATAAAACAAATCACGCAACTTTACTCCTCGCGTTCCCGCCAAAGTCTTCGTTCATGTCAAAAATATGATTTTAAATCAATTGGTCGAATTTTGAATTTATGGTCTGAATATAATATTAATAATATTAGACTGAAATGAAATAGTAGAGCAATTAGCAATTATCAAACATGGTACTTTTGTCACAATTACCACTAAGATAATGTGTTCGATCCTTAAAAACAAAAATTGAAATTTGTATGTTGTACCATTTCAATGTTATTGTTTTTGGGCAAAAATTCCCAAAGTTTATAAACGTATATAGTTATGATACTCATTTTACCCATTTAAAATTAATGAAAAGGAGACCATATGCAGAATAATGTGTGTTAGCTGTCATGTACTTAGTTTGATGCTTGCGTTTGCTGAGAAATACATAAAACTATTGCATGTACAGTAAAGCTATGTAGTTTATTTCGCCTTTCTTCAATGAAGCTTCTTCAGGACAGGTTGTATGTAATATGAACATTTTGGTTTAAAAATATGACGGTAAATCAAATCGTTAAAGTATATATTTTTTTTAGTTATGCATAGTTATATTATGCTCGCTGACGTAAAATTCTCAGATAAATATTTAAAAATAACGAAAACATGAATAAATGCTCTAGCAAATTTACTATCGTTTTAAATAATGCATTTTGTTTATTCTTTTGCGAACTGCAGCTCGTACCGCATGCCAATCTGCATTCCCCGGTTAGTAAATACCCGAAATAAATTATACACTTTCTAGTTTTTTTTTTGCACTCGCCCAGATGCTCTTTCGAGAATCCGTCTCTTGATTTTTATTTTAAACGCAGGCTATTTAAATTCGCTGACAATCTCGGGCTACAAGATAAACTAAACTTCTTAAAGCTGAGTTACATGATGATAATTTTTCAAATATAAGACATTATTGAAAAGGCCACCGACGCTTTCTAATTTAAGAAACGTAGGGCTGTTACGCCGTTTTATCACAGGGTGAACATTTCAAAGTGTACTAATGCGATGTTCTCGCCTGCTTGCATTCTGGAAACTGCGTAAATCGGTCTCCACTTGTACATTGATTCTATAAAAATTTCCGACGAGCTGAAAGTTTTTGGTTTTTTTTATTGCTTAGATGGGTGGACGAGCCCCAGCCCACCTGGTGTTGTGGTTACCGGAGCCCATAGACATCTACAACGTAAATACGCCACCCACCTTGAAATATAAGTTCTAAGGTCTTAGTATAGTTACAACGGCTGCCCCACCCTTCAAACCGAAACGCATTACTGCTTCACGACAGAAATAGGCAGGGTGGTGGTGGTACCTACCCGTGCGCACTCAGAAGAAGTCCTACCACCAGTCAAAGTTAACTAGTAATCTTTTTCACAACAGGAAATGTTAACACAGCTGCTGAAGCAGTACGTGCCGGTGGTCCGCGTGTCGGTGTGGTCGGGCGGGGAGGGTCCGCTGGCGACGGTCGTGCTGCGCTCGGAGTGGGACGCGCGGCTCGCGATCGCGCGCGTGCACAAGCGCCGCCTCGACAACCAGTGGACCGGGCGCCGGCTCGAGCTGTCCCTGGGCAGGCCCTCCCCCGCGCCCAACCTAGACGTTCTGCGCGCTCGTCTCCGGGCCATCCTCCTCGACCAAAAGAACCACGCGTTGCCGCTCCTCCGCCTTCGTGACGCGTACGCCAGCCGTCACTGCTGCGCCCTGACCACCTCCGATATCGCGAAAGTTAAGGACACGGTCGTCATCCACGAAGGCTTCGGCAGAATGGTTCAGTTGGTCGATTTGACGCCGGTCACCAGCGCCGAAATGGAAGAGGCTCCCTGGAAATGTCACATCCACGCGTCCATGAGTACGGGACAAGAGGACGGAAGTCGCATATTGCAGCCAGTTTACGTGGAGATATCGGCGTTGGCCAAAAACGTTCAAACATTATTGGAGAATCACGGTGGAATTTTGCCATTGTTGAGTTTCGTCGAATGTTATGAGGCTACATTTCCAGCGTTGCTTTGTGACCCGCGCAGGGGTGTAGCTCTGGAGTTGTTGCTGCGAAGCGCCCCAATGTTCGAAGTCAAAGATATACCATCGCGCCACCTCACTTGGCGGACTACGACCGTCGAAACCCCTCCAGAGAACACAAATCGCAGTGAGTATTACAACTGTTCAACGTTTTCATTGTTCTTGCGTAAATTGAGCAATAATTCGAATTCTCTGAATTAAAAATTGAAGCATTATACATTATATTAACTTCATCACAGCTACGCACTTCTTGAATCATTCACTTCATCAACGAGGGTTAACTGGAAGAGAATGCCTGTATGGCGTTAAGTTCGCCTTTGTACAATATTTTTGTGCAATAAAGAATTTTCTATCATTCATTCATTATAACTGCCAAAGCATAAGTATTGAATTACAAATATGTGATGATTTCGCAGGCGAAAGTTCCCGTTCAAGTGGCGATCGAGATCGACCGCGGACAGCGCCGGCGCTGGAGCCGATGCTGGCGTTGTTCGAGCGTGAACTCGTGGATTTACTGCGCAACGCTCCGCGCTGTTCCATCCCGTTCAGCAAGTAAGTAACAAAGCGTATATATATGATATATGATACAGGGTGATACAAAAGTATATAATATGATACAGGGTGTTCCGAAATACAACTGATAATAAAAACGGCTGGTACCGGTGGCCGTTGATGTTTCTCCTCTAGATAAGTAACAGCTTCTACCCAGCTGATGTTTGTTCGAACTCAATGACATTCCAACATCGATTCAAATCGAGGGGTGAAAGGCCTATTTATTTGGTTTAAGTGACATTTCCTGACTGATACGCCAAGGTTTTTCACACGTATGATCTATTACAACGAATTTACAATATAAAACATTGCATGATTACTAAAAAAGCACTGTTTTAATTTTTACGAAATTAGGCCATTCTGTGATGGTTATAGGAATTACAACTTCTTTTATACAAACAAATGCACAATTACTGTGAACAATCGATGAAATGTAGCGTAATATTTACAATAAATATATTAGTGAATTTGTGTTACATAAATAACTTTTTAAGTAATATAAACAAATATGATAATGCAGTCTGATAATAGATGGTGCCAACAACATGATTTGTATAAACAATTACAATAGTTATGCAAATTATTATTGTTAATTATAACATAATTTATTATTAATATTTATGTATATTAATATTTAAATGTGTATTATGACAGTAATTTGTGTTTTTAAACAATAAATTAAACATGTTCTGAATGTTTTCATATCAAAACAGTGTCTAATATATATGAAATATGGTAGAATAACAGTTTCATGTTACTAATAACAAATAAATAATGACATACAATAAACTTAACTATAAATCATGTTAATTATTGTCAATAATGGCGGCTTGCGTGATATTGATAGCAGAATTCTTGCAGACTGTTAATTTTGAGAATGTTAAATGAATTGAAAATATTTCATTGCCGTTTCAGCTTCGAGAATGGAATTAACATTGAAAAATATTAAGATTCACCCAATTTCAGCCCCGTAACCTTGCCTTCGGTGAACCTAGTATAATCCCTTGAAATGAATAACAGTAGCTAGGGAAAAAAATTAAGACTCAGGTGTTCCTTGCACTGATGTTGGTTTTTTTTTATTAATTCGTTCGTAATTAGTGTATATTTTACCTCTCTACGACGATGCAACTGTGAGATTACCTCGTTTGACGACTAATACGAGATGTCTTCCAGTTTTCTACAAATTTTATTTCAATATAGCGAATTCATCGCCAGTGTACAGTGACTTAATTGTGTACTTCAGCTGTTAAAAATATATTTTATTGTCTTATGCATTCAATTAATTGGCAGATCCTTTTGATATAATCAGTTTCTATAATTGAAGACAAACCTCGTTCTTTATTCTTTCTTTATTGTTTATTGTACACACAATGAATACAATACAATAATTGCGAAAAGTTATAAAATGGCGAGCTTAACTAACAATTGAGTTATCTACCAGCTAACCGTCGTTCTACTTTGTACTTATACCTTAAGCCACTAGTTGGGGTCGACACAGTGAATTATTATTTTCCATTCTCCTCTATCAGCCGTCATCTCAACACTCCGTTTTCTTTCTCACACATTCCATCCATGACTTCTTTGGTCGACCTCTTCTTTCTCTGCCTTGCACTATGCGACAACTCAAACCCATTTCTTACAGGTACCGGGTGATACACCTGTGCGTCGTATCATAAAACTAAAAATAAATAAATAATATAAATAACTAAAACCTAACTGAAAACGAAACAAACAATAACAATAATACATATATATGGTTTATTTTTGTATGACAGATTGATCCCGGCTTTTCATCATCATTTCGGAAGGCAGTGCCGCGTCGCCGATTACGGATTTACGAAGTTGCCGGATTTATTAGCAGCTCTCGGCAATACTATAGTTGTACGTATATACATACACAAATATTCTATAATGTTTAATCTGTTGTCGAATTTTTGAAGTGAAACTTCTTTAGAATCGTAATTTTAAACTCGATGAAACGAAAAATAAGTTAATAGAAAGTTTTATTTAATACAGCGCCATCTATGAGATTTTTTAATACTAACGTGTGTATGAAACATCTTGTCGTGAGTTTTAATTTAGCATTATGCGTGAAGTTAAAATATCAATTCACAGAGGGCGCTACCTCATACTATAAAATATGAATTACAATTATTCACTAATGACAAAATTTTACATATACTTAGACATTTAGGATAGTTGTATTTTAATTTTTGAAGGTTTCACTTCTACCACGTGTGAATTTCACACATCGACGCTTGAAAGGCAAACGTGACTAAGCGACAATAACTGCTTTGTAGATAAATGATAGGCAATAACCATATTCGATGCGCAAAAAAAATTTATTTCCAGGTCTATTAAAATTATTTCAATCCTACCGCTAGATTCGTTAAAATATAATTTTTTTCAGGTATTTCAACTTTAAATTAGTCTACTGTAAAGTTTACGCATTGTCACTTAGTCACGTTTGCCTTTCAAGCGTCGACAAGTATTTTTATTTATTTGGTTTTACATGAACGTAATCCCACATTAGGTTCTCGGCTCGGGTTCATCGCGCGTCATAACTCTCTCGGCGGCAGCTCAAAGCCGTCGCTGGACGTCGGACTTGGTGAAAATTCTGAAAACTGCCCCCGGTCGTTCGGTTCCGCCTCAAGATATTCCCGGACTGTTCCACACCGCGTTCGGACGGGCCTTCGCGCCGGCTGACTACGGGGTGTGTACGCTGACAGAACTGATGTGTCGAGTGGGCGCCCACGCTGTCACCACGGCGCTGGACGGGTCGGTGGCCTTGCCGCGGCGGGCTCCCACTCCTGAAGAACGTGCCAGAACCGTGCAGTTCGCTATGCAGGTAAAATATATACAAGCCATAGTAGCATCACTCAATAACTCTAAAACGCGATATCGACTTTTTATTTATTGCTATGATGGGTGGACGAGCTCACAGCCCACCTGGTGTTAAGTGGTCACCGGAGCTCATAGACACACTACAACGTAAATATGCCACCCGCCTTGAGATATAAGTTCTAAAGTATAGTTACAACGGCTGCCCCACCCTTCAAACCGAAACGCATTACTGCTTCACGGCTAAAATAGGCAGGGCGGTGGTACCTACCCTTGCGGACTCACAAGAGGCCCTACCACCAGTCTGAAACTCTAAACGCGATCTCGTCATTTGATGTTTGGAAGAAATAATAATAATATAACTCTTTATTTGACACTGTATGTACAGAGTAAGCATATAACACAAATAATAGACGGTGACATAAATTGGTGGCCTTATCGCTGAAAGCGATCTCTTCCAGGCAACCTTGCAGGGAGAGGAATAAGCAAACTAGCATGGACGGTGCTATATCTTAATAAACTTACATAAAATATATATATACTTATATACACATGTGAAAAATAAATACAATATAAGATAGACTTACGATTAAATATAAATAAATACTAAAAATATACAAATAAATAAATACTAAGAAATGTTTCTTGGATATCCACGAGCACACATATAAAAGCACACAGCATAAAATAATGCTGTAAAACACCTTCAAACGTAAAGTCGAAGTATTAATCATAATATTTTATAACTGCTGACACAGCCTTCAAATGGAAACGCATGATCAGTCATGTCAACCACCATCCTACTCCAGATCAGTCGGGAGTAGGATGGTGGTTTGCAACAATAATAAGATCAATACCTTTCTCAGCCATGATTTATCAGTTGCTTGTATATTTGTATATATTTTTCACAATATCAATAACTATGTATACAGTAAAAGCTCCTTATTCGCGGTTCTTTCATTCGCGTTTTCTCTACAATTTGTACAAAGGTGAACTTAACGCCATGCAGGAATTCTCTTCCAGTTAACCCTCGTTGATGAAGTGAATGATTCAAGAAGTGTGTAGCTGTGATAAAGTTAATACATGGCAATATTTTAAAGAATTCTAGTAGACGTGAGTGAAATTAAAAAAAAAAAAGTGTGTGTGTCCGCTCCGACGCACGACTGGAGTTTACTGGATATAAAAAATTAAACGAAACAATACGAGAAATAGTTCTATATTACGACAACACGATACACTACAGATTATTAACAAATTAACGAGACACAAAACAAACGACTAACAAATATATGAAAATACAATAATGAGAGAAACGCGCGATCAGTACGAGGCTTTGTGGCGGACTGCCGGCGCAGCAGCCCGGCGTCACCTGCGATGACGCATTTCGTGTGACATGCGCAATCAGGCGCATAACGCATTTCGTGTGACATGCTAGTACGATTTTGGTCCCCATAATTTTCATACCCCGGGCCTATATATGTAAATCGATTCTAAAGGAGTAAACTCCAACAAAATGTGTGCAATTCACACGCGGTAGAAGTGAAACCTTCCAAAATTAAAATACAATTATCCTAAACGTCTTAAGTATATGTAAAATTTTGTCATTAGTAAATAATTGTAAGGTAGCGCCCTCTGTGAATTGATATTTTAATTTCACGTATAATCCTAAATTAAAATTCACTACAAGAGCTTTCATACACACGTTAGTATTAAAAAATCTCACAGATGGCGCTGTATTAAATAGTATGTATATTTCTGTCTCATTCTTTGCTGGCTTCATCCTACACATTTTTGTATTTGTGTCTCTTACCTGTCGTTTNTAAAAAACAAAATGTGTGCAATTCACACGTGGTAGAAGTGAAACCTTCCAAAATTAAAATACAATTATCCTAAACGTCTTAAGTATATGTAAAATTTTGTCATTAGTAAATAATTGTAAGGTAGCGCCCTCTGTGAATTGATATTTTAATTTCACGTATAATCCTAAATTAAAATTCACTACAAGAGCTTTCATACACACGTTAGTATTAAAAAATCTCACAGATGGCGCTGTATTTAATAGTATGTATATTTCTGTCTCATTCTTTACTGGCTTCATCCTACACATTTTTGTATTTGTGTCTCTTACCTGTCGTTTTTTCCGTTGCATTCGGTTTGAAATCACAACGATTCTAAAGAAGTTTTCACTTCAAAACAGTAGTAGGTTATAATGAAATTACTAAAATAAATTCACTTCGTTACAAAAATGTAATGTGATCGAGTAATATATTTTTAAGAGGCAAATAAAATTGTTAATGCGACTGCTGCGTATCAGTCTGAATTGAAGGAGCTTTTAAAAACTGCCAAGAGAAAATGACAAAATTCTTCAAACCGTTGCCTAAGCCTTAAGAAAATTAATGAACATGTTCAAAAATCGATTTTTTTATATATTTGTTTTTTTATTATTATTTTGTCACCTATTAACGTATCCCCGTATAATCCCATACAAATTACCATTCCCTATTCACGGTTTCTGTATTCGCGACATATCTATGGAAAATAACCCCGCGAATAAAGAGCTTTTACTGTACTCACTTAACTATTGGTATAACATCTAGTCTTACCATACATCATAAAATGGTGGTAGGACGTCTTGTGAGTCTGCACGGGTAGATACCACCACCTAGCCTATTTCTGCCGTGAAGCAGTAATGCGTTTCGGCTCGAAGGGCGAAGCAGCCGTTGTACTGTTCAAAGTGAGACCTGACAACTCATGTCTCAAGGTGGGTGGCGGCATTTACGTGGTAGATGTCTATAGGCTCTAGTATTTTTTTTTTATTTTTTTTTATTGCTTAGATGGGTGGACGAGCTTACAGCCCACCTGGTGTTAAGTGGTTACTGGAACCCATAGACACCCACAACGTAAATGCGCCACCCACCTTGAGACAATCGCGAACATTTGTTGAGTACGTATTTCATTAGAAAAATTGGTACCCGCCTGAGATTCGAACACCGGTGCATCGCTCGACACGAATGCACCGGACGTCTTATCCGTTAGGCCACGACGACCACTTAACACTAGGTAGGCCGTGAACTCGTCCACCAAAAAAAAATTTGTGGTGTCGTAGGACGCCGGATAGGAACGAAGTTCTTTATATATTAATTTTAAGTTCTATTCGAGGTATAAAGAAAATAAAACTGGAGGTTTCGCAACAACCCACGGTCATTCGGTAACGTGCGAACTTCTTGTGGTCCACTTCATTCACGGTTGTTTGCATAAGAGTTAGTGTGTTGCGCAAACGAACGCTTTGTGATGATGGTCAATGAATGATAAAAAACTATTTTATTTTTTGTACGTTATTACAAAGTTAAGTCGTATACTGTGTGCATTACTAATAAAAATCTTACGTTACGGACGTTTTTTCCCGGTTAGGGTAACCCTCCACATCGTCCCATAAGGAACTTCGTTTCACAAAAAAAAAAACTGCGTGTCCGCTTCAAGAGGACTAGTGACATTGGTGTCGATGATCTGGTTCCAGGCGGTAGAACTGTTATGCTACACGCCCAACCTCCGCATGGAGTTCTCGCGCTTGGTGCCCGCGTACCACGCTCACTTCGGCCGCCAGTTGCGCGTCGCTCACTACGGGTGCGTCAAGCTCGCCGAGCTGCTGGAGCTGGTGCCGGAGTCGCTGTGCGTGCACGCCGAGCCCGCCGGCGAGAGGACGGTGCGGCTGGCGGCGCGGCTGGCGCGGCCAGTGGTGGCGCAGCGACTCCGCGCCATCACGCCCGTCTCGTTTTCCGCCTTCGCCGCCACGTACGCCAGTCATTTTGGTGCTCCACCTCAGGTAGGCCGCTCAAGTTTTTAGGAAGACAATAATTTTTGGAAGACATCTTTAATATATTTTTTTTTATTGCTTAGATCGGTGGACGAACTCACAGCCCACCTTGTGTTAAGTTACCGGAGCCCATAGACATCTACAACGTCAAAGCGCCACCCACCTTGAGATATAAGCTCTAAGGTCTCAGTATAGTTACAACGGCTGCCCCACCCTTCAAACCGAAACGCATTGCTGCTTCACGGCACAAATAGGCAAGGTGGTGGTACCTACCCTACAAAGTAGACCTTTTGGACGTTCGTTGTAGCGGCTTGAGGTTTCCAGGCGGACATGTTGTCGGCGTCGACACTGGAGGGCCTGGTGTACGCGGCGGGCGGGTGCGTGGAGGCGGGCACCGTGGTGGGCCCGGGCGCGGCGCCGCACTGGGCGTCGGGCGCGCTGCTGGCGTGCGCGGCCCTCAGCGCCGATCGCAGCATCGCCCGCGCCTCCACCGAGGAGTACTTCGCGGCCGCGTGTCGCCGCCTGGGCGCCGAGCTCGAGCTGCGACGCCTGGCGCTGGCCGGCGTGCTGGTGGTGGACGAGACCGGCCGGGAGCGCCGCGTGCGGCTGGCGGCTCCGTGGCGCGTCGTCTGGAGGCTCGCTCAGATCATCGCGGACCGCGGGCAGCCCCTCGCTCCGCTCGACATCCTGGTCGACTACACGCGAAAATATGAACCCGTGTTTCCGGCTGCTGATACTGGTTAGTCATTTTGTTTTGGAGATAAACAGTTGCGTCTTTGCTACGTGACAATTTTTTTTCACAAATGTTATATTTTATATGGTAGTTGATATATCTGAGTCGTCTATTATCAAAGGTGGCAATCTGTGCATTTGGACAAAAAAAAATTATTGATATTTCAATACAGATTGATTTGAATATAATCGACTCCTGCAAAGAATACGGTTCAAAACCTGCATTAAATAAAGGTTAATACTTAACCTTTTATTTATCTAAGATGTCGTTCAGAAGAGTTTTGTGACTGCCAATGGAATACAAAGTCAAAAATTCGTTTTTCTGATTTACCAATAATTATCCAAAAGTCACATTGCCGGCTTTGATAATAGTCGACTCATCTATAGTTCCGACGATACCGCAATTGTGCTGCCATCTCCCGGGAATTGTGCTGCGTTTCGTTTAGCTACCAAACTAATGTCCGTCTCCGACAGATATATAATTAACCGTGCTCACAATGTCGGTGCAGGGCTCGAAGGCGTCGTGGACTTCATGCGTCAGTACATGGAGATCTTCACGGAGGGCGGCGGGCGGTGGTCGCTGAGCGCGGGCGTGGCGGTGGCGCGCTGCCGGGATGCGCCGCGCGTGCAGGAGGACTACTCCGTACACGACACGCCACCAGGACAAAAAGTAACTAATGACTCCTTTAACAAAATCAAATCCTCCACGGTGTTTCCCGAGTGCTATGACATGTTCTTCTTCAAACGAGGCTTATGGAGAGTATTAAGCGGTAGGCGGCGGCTTGGCTCTGCCCCTGGCATTGCTGAAGTCTTTGGGCGACGGTAACCACTCACCATCAGGTGGGCCGTATGCTCGTCTGTCTACAAGGGCAAATCAAATCAAATCAAAAAAAAATTAATCAACATAAATGAAAGTACATACTTGTTGAACGTCAAAAAGAACTACCGCCAATTCACAAAAACTAGCCTCCGTCCTGAGAAGAACTGGCAAGAAACTCAGCGGGCATGACTTTTCTTGTATTAATATTAGATAGATAGATTTAATATTAGATTAATTCCTCTTTGTCTGTCTCTCTATAGATCCTCGATTCTCCCGTTCACGTCTTAGTCGGGCACGTTTCGATATTAAAACAGATTTACTTTCGATAGTTTGACAATTGGTTATTGATGAGATAACTGTAGATATAATAATGATAATATAGTACAAATGATAATTATCATTTGAAATCTCAAAGGAACTACGTATATTATGTGGATCACTTTTAATACTGGATTTAAGATAACCATATTCGAAGCAAAAATTTTGAAATTAATGTCAACTTAAAACAACCGGAAATTAACATGAATTTAATAATTTCATGACGTGATGACAGGTATCTGCACAAATATGTGTTAATTAGTGTTTCCAATACCCTAATTTTTATAAGTGGATTTTTTAGTGTTTATTATTGTAAGTCAATGAATAGAAATCCATAGTAAAAAGGGAAACTTATAGTTATTTATATCTATAGGCTAATGTTTCACTTCTGCCGCGTATGAATTACATTTTCTTTTTTGGTGTATTAATATGCAATGCAAATGTTGTTGTATTCCAAAGGGTTCCAGGGTATTCGAGTCTCCCAAAACAAATATTTGGTGCTCTCCGCCGGCTAGCGCACTGCCGGCGCCATCGGCGCTGCTTAATCAAGAAAACAAACGTAGGTTATAATTTTCTTTACAAGCACAGGTATTATTAAAATTATTAGAGTTAATAAAGATTATTTTTTTGGTTTAATGAAATCGTTCCTGCCCTAAGGGAAAACGCTCGGTACGGTATTTAGTTGTATCACTCAAAATCTCGGGTTATGTTGTATAAGTGGTTCATGTTTATTGCGGAGATGGTGGAAAATGCGTGAATGAGCCACAGCCCTCAATGTTAAGAGGTTACCGATACACATAGACATCACAACATTAATATCATAGCTCTACTTTGAGATTTGAGGTTGAAATCTCAGTTATATTGTATAAATTGGTGCTATCGGCCGGCTAGCGCACTGCCGGCACCATCGGCGCTGCTCAATCAAGAAAACAAACGTAGGTTATCATTTTCTTCACAAGCACAGGTATTATTAAAATTATTAGTATTATTAATTATTAGTATTATTAACATAAAGGTTATTTTTTTTTTATTTATCAGGTCGCACCCGCCTAGCGGCGCAGTTCGACGCTTCATAAGTCCATTCCCACCTGTGCCACGAATTAAAATGCATTCCTTTTACATTTTATGAACGCGATCGTACGAGTGCCCGTGTTGACCGGAAATTAGCTTTGAAACTCAGGGTCGCAACGAATTTTAACAACTAGACTTAGTAAGTGTCCTATAAAATGTGATGTATGTAACAATAATGTTTTAGATCGTGTATATTTTTGTGTATTTTATTTAGATTAAGAATAGAGGCATTCGTTAAATGTTATATCCATTACATATTCTATTTACAATGTTCAAACGTTGATATATTATATGAATAAATCTATAAGATATCACAAACTATCAATAGATCAATATTGGACTGTTTGAATACTTGTTTTTATTATAAACTTTTTATTTATTGACCACTCATGATATATTTTTTATTTATTTTCCAATATAATTATTTTAAGTCTTAGTCATTCTTGTTACTTGATATTGATTGCATTTCATGTGATAATTGAATGAAATGTAATCAATATTGAGATTTTACCTTTTGACATTTTTATATGCTATTTATTATACATAAATTATAGGTTTATACAAGCAACGAAGGACTGAAATATGCCTACAATGTTATAATCAAGAAAGGTTTTGTTTCTATTGTTTATTTACCGATATTGATATGTATAATTAAATAATTTGTATTGCAAGTACAAATAAATATAATAATATTCTTCAAACGAAATATGTTAAGGCGCACATATCATTTACAATTTGAGGCTCAAAATTGTATTAGGCATAGGGAATAAGTTTATATGAAAGCATATTATTAAGGAAGTGCTTGTAACATTTTTCGAATGCTAATTTTAAGTACAATAATCATACAATATTGTTGATTTTGTATTTGATGTTTTATCTATCGGATACGTGATCTCGATTCTATATTGGTGTACGTACGGTTTGGCTTTACTTGTTTTCGATTTAAAATTATATGTGGTTATTAATGTAATGAATGATTTATCGGCTCATGTAAATTTCACTCGAATTGATAATTTTTATAACAAGTTTACATGATTCTACTAAGATGTTGGAAACATTTTAATTTGATGAACGCGGAGTCTTGATGTAAGAAGTACGATTATATATTATCTTAACGTACGAGTTAAATGTCAATTTAAATGATTTTAACATATTGTCGTGGGTGTGAGCCCACTTGTCAGAATTAAAATCCAAAGTGCAATGTTTTTACGTTAGTGTAAATAATGAAATGTAATTTGATAAGTATAAAGTTCCACATTAATAGCACACAGCGAATGGGTTGTATGATTACAATATGCGTTTTGAATTTTGCCAAAGGATAATAAAATATATGTATGATTAAGACATTATTACAAAGCAGAAAATAACAAATCGAAAATCTTCAAATGGATATCGATATTCTAAATTTTTTATAAGTTCTTGTAAAGATGACCAAAAATATGTGTTTACGAGATTGAATCTACATATAAATGTAATCTTGATGTATTGATAAAATGTATTAAAACAACATTAAATTTAAAAACTTCAATTTAAAAATTTAAAAAAATACAATTTTATTGTAATGTTAAAGAAAGATATTATATAATTTATTCGAGAAAATTATATCTTGTACATAATAGTATAGCCATACTTAGATTTTCAATATAAAAAATATTTTTATTATTATATTACGGTACAAATGTTTTTACTTAAGAAACCTGAGTTGGTCAGTCTGAAAATATGTTAAAAAAGACTGACCACTAGCAATATACTGTGTTCTGATAGATTTAACTATGTAAAATGCGCTGTGACGGGCGGTGTACTATAAGCAAATTAATACTGTGATACATGTGTACCAATTGATGTCATCGAGTGTTACTCTTATAGGAATGAGCTAAATTGAATTTCATTAAATAAAAAAGGAGTCGTAGACGTATGTGTAGCTCTTATATAACGCTTTATTTTAGCAAGAAAGTCTACTCTACGATTTAGTTGTGATATTAATGTGGAACAAAATTACTAATTCTAAATAGTTATTTGAAGATGCATTTGTTTGAACTAGCCCTTCGAATAATGTTTATTTTTTGAAAACTTTACGCTTTCATCGAGATCAGTAGTTAATAATAAAAAAAAACATTTAAAAAAAAATAGGATTTGATGTTGTCTTAGTAAGGTTTTGATCTCGTTAAAAATGTCCTGTTTTCATTATATGTATGATCTGTGTGGAATCCTACCCTAATTTGTAAGTAACTGCCAGTTCGCATTTTTAATTAATATATTGTGAATGAAATATTGCCAGTAAATAATTATATTATACTGTTGCTATTTTTAAGTTTTTTTTTTTGTTTAGTTTTATTTTTCTGACCAATAAAATTGCATAAAATGAAAGTTAGAATAGCGATATTCTTAAAAAAAAAATCCCTGAAATTATAAGTTGATTTCTTTGAGGCTGTAAGCTAATATTACAAGTAATTTTTAGCGTGTCGTCTTCTATGTGACCAACGTTTCTTTTTAATGTCTAAGCTTAAGGTAGTATTAGGCACACACTTGTAAGAGATGTACGAAGATTATAGTTTTACGCCTGCATCTTCGTAATTCTGTGATCATTTAATTTTTGTTGTCGTTCCAACTAGTGAATCATTGGATGTATGAAGGTAGATCATTTCTTGTCAGTATTGCATGGAATATGAATGTAGTGTTGGAAAAATAAATGTTATTTTTATAGATTGCTTGTTTTGTTATTTTTTTACCATTAATATTGGAGGTTAAGGAATTTTGTGCACTTGTAATTCATACATTGCAAATACCTTCCAAGAACATGTGGGATTTTTATTACTCTACTCAATTTTATTGTAAAATTGATGCCCACCCCTGAAATATCATGCACATAGTTCACCAGTGCTGTTCAGGGCCTATAGACTACTAGACATATCTAGACAGCATAGACCATAGTGGTCCTCGAGGTAATTATTCCACTGATGCTCTGGCCTTCAAAGGTTCCAAAGAAAACTATTATAAATCTAAAGCTACCTTCTACTCAAATGAGAGCATTGGTGCGAAAAGAACCTGCAAAAACACTAGACTTGTTAGTCTTGATGTAGACTGTTGAAGCTAGACCAGCCTTTCTGCCGCTTTTAACCAGCCAAGACTATTAATGTTCTCTGTATAATGGCTCATCACCACAAGAGTAAATGTTCTTACTAATATTCACAACAGGAGGCACAAGGTAGATGGACTACCTAACTAGTTATTTACTTACAAAAAATAAGGTTAGATTGGTATAAAATATTTAAACATAAACAGAAAATAAAGACAGAGGATTATGAATATTTATTGCAACAACAAGTTTTATCTACTATTTATAACTGCTTTAATTGATCACTTTGTAAGGTCTGATAAGGGACCATTGCGTCGTTCCCAGACCATGCGATGCTTCTGCTTCATGTAAGCTTTTCGCGCATCACCATAAGCACCGAGGTCACCATCTGAAATCGAATATGAACAGTGTTTACAATGTCATCACTGTATGAGAACCCGCAATTAATAAGTTAACATAAATAATAAAAGAGTATTTCTTTCATGTCTTTATCATATGCTTATTTTCCAATTCTATGTTGTAATGCATTTCTGAATTAACAAATAGCTGGTGGTAGGACCTCTTGTGAGTCCGCGCGGGTGGGTACCACCACCCTGCCTATTTCTGCCGTGAAGCAGTAATGCGTTTCGGTTTGAAGGGTGGGGCAGCCGTTGTAACTGTAACTATACTTTAGACCTTAGAACTTGTATCTCAAGGTGGGTGGCGCATTTACGTTGTGGATGTCTATGGGCTCCAGTAACCACTTAACACCAGGTGGGCTGTGAGCTCGTCCACCCATCTAAGCAATAAAAAAATAAAAATAAAAAAAATACAAAAAATATAGTGGTGGAAATAGAAAACATATTAAAAATAATTGCAACATCAACAATATCAATACCATGATGTCAGTGACCAAAGGCCTTTTGTTCAACAAAGGTTTGCAGTAAAGAGGCAGTGGAGTTTACCTGCCATATAATAACATAGAGAGCAATTCATTGAAATTGTGTCACTTCATGAGACCAGCTGACAAATATTAGATAATCCTACCTTTCTAAAATCGATATATATGAGAAATAATGTCGTATCGATTTTTCTCTCTTTCTCTGTATCTTTCTCTTTTCTCTCTTATCTTTCGTTATGTCTCTGATTAAAATAAATTAACCCTAAAAACAATCAGATCGGCCTTACCATTCTCAATAAGGAAACTAGGAAAATGAATGTTATAAAATTCAATAGTACAGAGGGTTGAAGTTATTGTTGTCTAAAAGACATTTCTTTATATAGCTTATCATTTATACACAACACCTATTATTGTCCTGTTCCACAGAAAGTCATGCATTTTGCTTTGCAAGGTGGGGTGGCCTCTGCATAACACAACAGATATTTTTTCCTTATATTTAAAAGTGGGTGTAGGGTTACTCATGCTGATGTGTCACATGGTAGGCTCTGAACTGATCTGGTGCAATTAAAGAAAAAAATTGTAAGGTCCTTTATTTCATTCAATTCAATGCTTTTTACTTAGACATGTCAGTTTTTTTTTATTGCTTAGATGGGTGGACGAGCTCACAGCCCACCTGGTGTTAAGTGGTTACTGGAGCCCATAGACATCCACAACGTAAATGCGCCACCCACCTTGAGATACAAGTTCTAAGGTCTCAAGTATAGTTACATATACATATATTTGATAAAGCATAATTAAAGAGTATCCCAAATTATGAATTACATACATTTAATGAACCAAGCTTCCTCAGCAGACTTGTACTTGTCCCAAAGAGACCTGCATTTAGTTGCATGGTCTGGTTGCTCATACATCATGCAATCTTCATAGCGTTGCCTGAGAATGCTTAATATCTCAGAGTCCACTGCCCTAAAATGAAATATATTATTATAATAGACTAGCTGACCCGGCAGACTTCGTGGTGCCTCAATCTATAAATAAAATACCTAAACTTTTGTATAAAATAAACTTAAAACAAACAAAAGGAATCCAGCTGACGAGGGACACATCAAAGGAAAAACAAAATTATTTTTATTTAGTTCCGAGCATTTTTATATTTATTTACCTTTTAAACCTTCTCTGGACTTCCACAAATCATTCAAGACCAAAATTAGACAAATCAGTCTAGCCGCTCTCGAGTTTTAGCGAGACTAACGAACAGCAATTCATTTTATATGTAGAGATAGATAGATAATTTCACTTTCATACAACTATTAAAATTAAATGTAAGTCTATATTCAGTTATAGGTCTCCAGCAGTTTGAAGGAGGATGGAAAATAAATTCATGCCTAATACAACAAATTGAAGAGTTATTACAAAATATTTAATGGAACAATTGGCTATTTTCCAAAGACTGTCCCTTATTTTACCTAGTTACTAAGTAGCATATTATTAACCTGATTATGATATTAAATGAATGTGATTTAGCTAACCTGTCTCGTTTAAATTGAGCATTAGCCTCAAAGTCGCAAACGACGTCGTCGTCGTAGCACTGGTCAATAGTCGGTACACGACGGTAGTTTTGATGATACCAAGGGTACTTCTTCTGGTTTGGTTCGACAACAGTTTCTGCGTACAATGAAAAAATTATTCACTTACATAACAACACACTAGTTTTATGATACCAAATTAACCCACCTCGGAACCATGTTACCGGAGCATCGACTGTATTGTAAAGAGCATTGCAGAATGCTCTAAACACATTATCATCAGGAGGATTTCCGTCTTGTACCATATTAAAATTGAGATATCGTTGTTTAAATTTTATTAAATGTTGACTTCTCGCCCCTCCTCTCAGCTGTCAATTATGACAGTTGTCATCTCGTTTCTCGCTTTTGTTTCATTTGACTATCGAATAGGCACAGGAAAACTACATCCCAAACGCCTAAACTTTATAACAAAGAGAGAACCCATTTCAATTGTTCTAATTCCCGCTAAAAAGTCCAGCCGTATATTTGTCAGTATTTTTGTCAAAAAACTATATTAAGAATCATCCTGCAGTGACGTTGCGATACCATCTGAGGCCCGTGGCAAATCGAATGAGGCCCCACCATAATATGATAGCGTTGTAATTAAATGTTAATAACGCAACGAAGTAGTTTACTGGTGGTAGGACCTCTTGTGAGTCCGCACGGGTAGGTACCACCACCCTGCCTGTTTCAACCGTGAAGCAGTAATGCATTTCAGTTTGAAGGGTGGGGCAGCCGTTGTAACTATACTGAGACCTTAGAACTCATATCTCAAGATGGGTGGTGCATTTACGTTGTAGATGTCTATGGGGTCCAGTAACCACTTAACACCAGGTGGGCTGTGAGCTCGTCCACTCATCTATGCAATAAAAAAAAAGTTACGCAACAGTATTACTGTGTGCATTATAATTAAACGAATATATTCTAAAATGAAATTTCGTCATACCACTTCTTATGCGTTTAAATCATATTAATTAATTTTAATTTACAAACATACGATCGTATACGATGTATGTATACGATCGTATACATACATACGATCTTTAATCATAATTAATTTAATTGAATTTAAGAACTTCTGTTAGANAGTCCGCACGGGTAGGTACCACCACCCTGCCTGTTTCAACCGTGAAGCAGTAATGCATTTCAGTTTGAAGGGTGGGGCAGCCGTTGTAACTATACTGAGACCTTAGAACTCATATCTCAAGATGGGTGGTGCATTTACGTTGTAGATGTCTATGGGGTCCAGTAACCACTTAACACCAGGTGGGCTGTGAGCTCGTCCACTCATCTATGCAATAAAAAAAAAGTTACGCAACAGTATTACTGTGTGCATTATAATTAAACGAATATATTCTAAAATGAAATTTCGTCATACCACTTCTTATGCGTTTAAATCATATTAATTAATTTTAATTTACAAACATACGATCGTATACGATGTATGTATACGATCGTATACATACATACGATCTTTAATCATAATTAATTTAATTGAATTTAAGAACTTCTGTTAGATACCTTTTTTTAACTATATTTTGTTCATTCAGTTACTTTATTTTGTGCCCGTGGCTTTTCCCAGTCCCGTCAGCCTATAGTTATTCCATATTGTTTTTTTTTATTTTTTTTATTGCTTAGATGGGTGGACGAGTTCACAGCTCACCTGGTGTTAAGTGGTTACTGAGGCCCATAGACATCTACAACGTAAATGCGCCACCCACCTTGAGATATAAGTTCTAAGGTCTTCGTATTGTGGAGGGAAGAGCTATTTTCAATAATATTATGCTTAAAATTTGCCACNCCTATAGTTATTCCATATTGTTTTTTTTTATTTTTTTTATTGCTTAGATGGGTGGACGAGTTCACAGCTCACCTGGTGTTAAGTGGTTACTGAGGCCCATAGACATCTACAACGTAAATGCGCCACCCACCTTGAGATATAAGTTCTAAGGTCTTCGTATTGTGGAGGGAAGAGCTATTTTCAATAATATTATGCTTAATATTTGCCACAAAATAATATTATTGTACATTCTATGCTCATAATTTTTATCAGAATGTTGGGCCACCAAGGTGCTTGCTATAAGCATAAAAATTCTGCGGAGATTAGGATAAAAATGATGGTGAGGAATAAGTATAAATAATGGTTTTTTCTATTTTTTTCCTGTTATAATTTAGTAATGCTGTCTGGTCTGGTTTTGTTATCGTATCAATCAATGTATAACTAGTTGTAGGCAAGTAGTTTTATAAATTCGATCTTTTTCATAGAATTAGCGATAGTTACAGTGAATATGACTTCTAGTATTACGAATCTTTCTTTAATAAGTTCGTGTGTCACTGAACTCCTAAAGGGCTGGACTTTTTTGTTTGTGTTTGAGTGGGTTATTTAGATTCACGGTTGGACCCGATTGGTATCGCTGCTATCAGATTCTAGTTTTATTTTTCATATTTTTCAGAGAAATTCTACTTAATTAGGAATTGGAATGGAATTTGACGTTTGCCGGATCTGTTCAACGGCGGATCCAGGGCGGGGGTCATGGGGGCCATGACCCCCCCTGAGCTAGTTCCAGGACTTGAACTAACTTGGACTAATTGAAGAACATCATGATTTATTTATTATCTATTGTTATCAAAATTAAATTATAAGTTCTTGCCCACGACTATGTGACCCCCTCCTGGCGCCAAAGCTGGATCCGCCCTTGGGTCTGTTAATACATAAAAAAATTGCTATGTAGCGCTAGCAAACTATATATTATTCTGGTCTTAATTAAAATTAACTCTTAACTAAACAACGGTTCGAAACAAAAGGGTGCGAATAAAGTTAAGTTTCAGAGCGGTTTAAAAGAGTTGTAATAATAATTTAAGTCGCTATGGAATAATAATTTAGTTAATATTTCGCCTTGAGATCCGCCTCGCGGCACTTCATGTATGTTGCGTTCATGGTAGTGCGCTGCTTTGCCCAGTTACAGCAATGAGAAGTCACACGTTATTGGCCATTAAAAACTTTTGAACTACATAAAATTTAAACTATATCGTGTTTTAACTTAACAAGGGTTAGAACGGCCAAGCCATTGCCATGAATTTTGATATTTCCATACATATAAATCTATACTTTTATTTTCCTCAAACAGCATTTATCTTTTATTCAAATTAATTGTTCGGTCTTTAAATAATATATGTATTAACAGATACTGTTATACTATTGTTAATATGTTTGCATTCCGTTTAGAAGGATAAAATGGTGTTTTCCATTACATTCGACCACAGCGCCATACATAAGTATCAACTTACTAGACTGACGAATATTTAAGCTGTGTGACCATGTCACATTACTAGACTAAGGACATTGGTATCAGACCCGCCGCTGGCCTTTTCACCGCATGTAAAACTGACAATGCTGCCCCTTCGTTACCTTTTTGTTTATTCTACTATGTTCGTGGAGTGGAATTTCATGTTGGATAAACGGCCTCTTTGAAAGTGCTGCCCTTGTGCGATGCTTCTTGCACGCCAGGCCTGCTACTTATCAACACACGGGTCCTGCCACCCTTTTCTATATATGTATACATTTATATCTTTGAATCATTCAACTCGAAAATAAACATGGATTTATTTCTAGGGTTAGGTACGTGTTGGAGCTCGGGATAAATAAAACTTTCCCCGAAGTACAAATTAAAACTATAAATTTATCGCACAAGGAATACTTTACAAATCGCAATTCACTTCTTCCGCTTCGTTTCAGGTGATCCGTTCGCTGTTTCGCTTCGAGAAGAACCGATTACTAGTTGCCTTCGTGTCTCTCTTCTCTTCTTTATAGTCGACACGACAACTCTATAATTATCGAGAACATTCCCCACAAGGCGAATCGTTTCTATATATGTGTTTCCGCTATTTGATAATAGATAGCGTTACACTTCTCAAGCGTTCTCGATATTACTAGTACTTTTAATATTCGTTTCTGCTATTCGCCGACACATGGCGCCACTCTTAACGGCGTTACATTAATCATATTTTAGATAATTTATTTACAATATGAACTGAAATATCTGCTTATGCTTAATGCTGTAAATTTCAACTAAACTTTAAACGGATATTGATTTAAAAATTAACACGTTGAACGCTACATGAAAAATAGAGTATTTTCATTCAGGCCACGGGGCTTACCGGTATGCGTTATCTTACTGAGCTGTTCGGGCAATGATGGTCACCCGTGAGATACGTGAGGGTTCTAAAGTAAACACTTCCTACAACAAGCCTTAGATTGCAACTATCAAACAAAACGCGCATGGAAGTGAGCCCCGTGGCCCTTTAGCTGAACCGAACGCCTAGGTTTTCAAATCGAATAGAAAGTTGTAGTTCTTATCAAGATTATGGCCTTTTAAAATAACTTAAAAACTAGACGATAAAAGTCGCTAATTTTTATCTTCCGAGCAAATGATCTCGGTTAATGATAAATATTACTGATTCCCTTGATTTTGGCTTGGCCTGATTGGTATATAGTACACTCTAGGCCCACCGGTGGTCGGCATGGCGTTCAACGTGTTAATCAAATCAAATGTTGTTGCTCTAGACCCAGACCTCGTGTGACTAGGTCTATGTTTACTGAAAAATAAAGTTCACTTCACCAAGAGTGACAAAAACGTGTTATCAGAATGCGTTCACATATCCAGTTACATCAAATTTTATAAAATAATGATGATATTATATTCTTTGGATGTCAGTGTTGCAAATGTAACCCTTTCAAATATTTATTCGTACATACTTTGTATACTTGTACACATTTAATAATGGTAAAAATTTACAAATAAATTCATTATAATTACCTACATAGTTAACGGGTCAGTAACAAAATAGAAGATCAAAAAAATTTTATCATATTTTAGCTTAATAATCATATCAAATACTAGGATTACACATATTGCTGAATATGCCAAATATCTGAAGGCATTTTCAATCATCAATGATAAATCACAAATAATTAGAAGATAACGAAGATAACTATCATTTGTTTGAAGCTTTAATTCTAATATTTTCCCTGGTCAATTGAAAGTCGAAATTAATGAAGTTTTTCGTTTACTATAATATTGAAAGCTACCTCTCTCTATATCTACCTACACAACTGCTTCAGTCAAATGCAAATTCAAATCAATCCATCCGGATTTAATAGCCTCGCATTGCTTGTTCAGTGTCGTATAGATAAAGTACATTAAAACACATCACATGGAAATACCGCCTAACTAATGTAATCCTTAGAGTTCTGCAATTTTTACTAGGATACTTACATTGAACGGATTTATAACACATTGAGCGTGGGGTTGAGGCACGCGTGCGCCCTATGTTTCTACCATTCGGGTTGCTAGACGGCTTCTTCGTCGAATTATAGTGGAAATTTTGAGAAGAACAGAGTTGCTTATTCAATTTAAAGTACACTTAACGCATCCGTTTTAGTACTGTTTGTTTTAGAAACTTATTTTATCTCTTTATACTGACAATTTATTTTACTTGAAGTATATTAGTTCCGATTAGTTCCGAAGAGTTATTTTGACGTCGTATTCGTTGTAGTAATGATCATATGGTATCATGCAACCCGAAGTTTGAAGGAGAAGTGTTGTCAGTCGAACATTGAGAGTTCCGCAGCCGCTAGTCTGGGGGAAGGCGTCGTGTTGTGACGCGGGCCTTCGTCACAGCTAGTGGTATGGCGCTTCGGTCCCAGGCTGTGATGACTCAGTAGTCAGTAGCGTGGCGCGCGTGTTAGCGGCCGCTTTTCGTCCAGTGCCCATGTGATATTAATGTCGGCACGATGAAGTGGAGAGCGCGCGCGATATCTGCTCGCGCCAAAGAACGCGCCAATATCAGTTTCTTCATCTTCATCATGTTCTTTGCGGTGTTCGGTGTCATAGTGCTTACTGAATTGTTACTCCTGGAGCGACCCAACGAACCCGCTCGGGCTCGCTACAATGAAGACATGCAGGTCAGAATAACGAATTAGCGAATCGATTATGAAAGTACAGGATAAACCTGTTATCTATGTTTTTGTGCCAGTAGTTTATTAGTAATTAGATCTGTCTGTACCTACAGAACATTATTATTATGTATCTATTAAATTAATTTGATTGTTGATATTGTTAAGTGGGTATTTGTATACACAAACACCTTTAGCTACAAGGTGGACTTATTAAAATTTGTTACAAAAATTAAATTATTTACGTTTAATTAAAAAGTTACAATTGAACGAAATACCATCGGGATAATGATCAGAAAATACTTACTTAATGTAGGTGAATCTGTGTTTCGGAGCTTATTTAATCGAACGAAATGCAAATTAGTCTTAACCGGTCGTGAGTGTTTAGGTTAAAGAAGCGGTACAAAATATGTAGGAGCCTACTTTATAGATATTTGAAGTCGTCATTACCTACCTACGTAGTGCTGCAGCTTCCTTTAAATTATATTCAACTTGTATCTTTTGTGTTTAATTTTTTTGTTATGACCTCCTCTTTTATTATATATAAATGAATTTAGAACTTTTTCTATTATTATAGTACTAATTAATCAATGAAGTGTGTGTATATAGGTATTGATGGAATTTGATTCTAAGTTCTGAAAGTAGATTGGTTTAGTGGCATAAATCTTTACGAAAATTTTTAACAACAATAAAAACAATGAAAAAACCTATAAACTACATACCTTATTCACAATGAGAAATTTTAAATTAATCGCAAATCCCTATCTACCGTATTGTCTTGTGGGAAAGTTGTTTTTTTGTTCACCCAGATGCTTCATTGTTTGAAGTCTTTATCTTAAACAGGTTTAAATTGTTAAGTAATATTTTTTTAAAGTTCTCAATTTAAATTTTGTGCAGTACTTATTTTGGTTTTTGAGTTTGCAAAATATTTTTTCTAATTTAGTGGTTCATTGCCATAATGCTGACTGTATCACTTTTAAAGCTCTTCTCAGATTGAAGCCGACGATTGCAGTCTGTTTATACGTATTTTATTTTCATGTTTTACATGAATTACACATTTACGACACGTTTTTTGCGAATTATTATTATTTATTACANTTTGTGCAGTACTTATTTTGGTTTTTGAGTTTGCAAAATATTTTTTCTAATTTAGTGGTTCATTGCCATAATGCTGACTGTATCACTTTTAAAGCTCTTCTCAGATTGAAGCCGACGATTGCAGTCTGTTTATACGTATTTTATTTTCATGTTTTACATGAATTACACATTTACGACACGTTTTTTGCGAATTATTATTATTTATTACATTGTATTATTCTTCTTTCATTATTGCATATTTGCAATACGGTGATTAATTCATTCGGTAACCAGTTTAATTTTTACAAACGTTCAGCTATACATTGGCAGGATGAAGCTATCAACCCATAATATAGGTAGGAATAGCGGATGCAGGAAATTCGATGCAATTCTGTTAAATGATTGTTATATACCGAGACTGATTTGATAACTCGAACTTTTTTAGTTTAATAAGCAACCTTGGAATAGGGTAAATTCTTATCACCCAAATTTACCTTGTCTACAGTTTTTTTAAAAACGTTTCGCCATATTAATAGTGGTTATTAACCCTTTGCAGGCAAATAAAAATGAAATGAAGTAAAACTATTTTTGTAATAACTATTTTGCAACTCTCACTCTTTAGAATGAAAATCAAAGAAAACAAAAAAAATTATATTGATAGTAGCTTTAAAAAAAACTTTTGATTCACCCTCGTGTGAATCGAAATAGTGTTTGACCACCGCGGCGGTTTTGTCTACAACTTTGGCAAACTCACCAAGCGGGCAGATCCTGCAGCTGTCGCAGTGACCTTGTGTTGTTAAGAGCACATGAAATAATATTAAATGGATAGAATCGTACCATATAAAGATGTAGATCGAAAGATATAGTCGCTGGTATAATAGTAGCCCCAGTCACTCTCACACTCTCTTCAAGCTATTGAAACTCGTGCATTATATCCAAAAAAATTGTCTTTATTTATTAAAAAAGAAACAGTACGATTGAAGATACATAAATCCAATCAGCTAACAAAATACTTTTCCAACAATACACAAAATAAAAACAACAATTTATAACAAGTCAAAATGGTGACTCTAGTTGTTATAAACCAGAATTGAATACTAAACATCTTCGGTTTCATGGTCACAATAACCGGATCGAGCAATCCGTTGACCCCAAAAGTTATATTGCGTTTACTATCGATGTATTCGCGGATTTGAAACTCATCTGAGAATGATGTGGAACGGTGTTTTTTTTGGCTAAAACGAGGCGTCGATCATGAAAGATCGTGGAACACTGACTTGGCATTTTCAGTCTTACATAATCGATAACAGTAGATTATTAATTAACATCCTTTTTATTTAGGACGTTTGAATTACGGAGCCTTTTTTGGTTAGCTATAAATATCCAAGGCTTATGTATAAACGTGACTTGTGTCAAGAATAAGGGGCATAGTGATGAGGCTTCGTCTGGAGTGGGATTTTTAAGACAGAAATATTGTACTAGTGTATATTATTTATAGAATGTTGTACTACTTAGTGTACCCTATTTCTAGAATATTTATTACCAGATAAGTTCCAAGACACCGAGCTGCGCTTTGCTAAGCTTAGAAAAATGTAAGATAAAAAAAAAGTTACTGCTACACTAAAAACTCATTAGCTTTTTTAAAAAGTTCCAAATAATTCTTTTTTGGACTAAAAAAGTCACGTAATATATTTATCAAGATCAATATTTACTGGAATATGTCAGCCAACTAGCTGTTTCCCTTTTAATTAATCAACTTGACTATCAATCAAATGGTAGAAGTTTTCTCATTCTACAAAATGAAAGTTTGTGGCTACGAATGTTACATGTCTCTGGCTCATCTTGTAATAGACGTTTCAGATTCATTCGGTCTTCGTATTAGCCATCTCATCACCTTGATAATCAAGTGATATAGATTCTTTCTTTTGAGGTACTCTAAGTATGGACAGCCTGATACTTCCTTGGATCTTTCAGGAGATTCTTGCAAAGATTCTGATCTTTAATCTTCAACACCGTTCGCATGAGTTTTGTTATAAATTTTAGTGATACGATTCCATGTACCTTAGATCGGGTAACCATAACCCAAGTCGTCCATCCTGGTCCTCGATATGCTTTTATATTCATAGTATGTGGTCCATGATTTGGAGATGCTCTCCAGTACCGAAGNTTCCTTGGATCTTTCAGGAGATTCTTGCAAAGATTCTGATCTTTAATCTTCAACACCGTTCGCATGAGTTTTGTTATAAATTTTAGTGATACGATTCCATGTACCTTAGATCGGGTAACCATAACCCAAGTCGTCCATCCTGGTCCTCGATATGCTTTTATATTCATAGTATGTGGTCCATGATTTGGAGATGCTCTCCCGTACCGAAGTATCTGCTGAGCGCCTCAAGCAGATATCTGAGCTGACTTTAACAAATTCAGTAGACTCTCTCTGCATAAATTTCACTTAGGAATGGTTAAATGTACTTGCGACTTGAGGTGTTCCTTCGTATAATAAGGTTTTGCTGGCAATCTTGATTTGGCTTCCCGTATATGGTTCGGATACAAACTTTTTTGTTTAATTCATCAACTTTTGCGTTTCCTTCCATACCAAAAAGAACAGAAACTGCCAAACTCCTAACCCCCAATCATCATCATCATCATCATCATTTCAGCCTATCGCCGTCCACTGCTGAACATAGGCCTCTCCAATAGATTTCCAGTGCGACCGGTCCAATATAATAATATTACTTGACTGCCGCTAAAAATGTAAATAACTGTTTTTATTTCCCCAAAATTCTTAGCAATACAAGCGCTGATTGTCTATGTCTCCGCATGGAAGACTGACTGATAAGACTATGTTAATCACCGTAGTCCTGAAAGCGCCAGAGACAGTTCCTAAGTTGATTTACAGTTGACAGTTCCTAAGCCAAAATCCATTTCGTCATCGCATTCTTACTGTGAATGTAGCATTGGGGAGTTGTTGTGAAATATGTAAATAGATTCGACTTTGTAAAAGATCATAGTTATCATTCGTTCAGATCATGGTTGATATCCAATCTTGTGCGTTGGGTTGAGGTCATTTATGCCAGCTTATGTAGTCTTCCTTTTTTTCTGGCCGGGAGCCGAACCTCCTAGTTGTTGTTTTCGTTAGCGGTATTCGAATAATTTGATAGTGTTTGAGCCGTTTTATAAACACTCGTTATAGGCATGCAAGCCAGTTTCTTATACTTTGTCTAAAACACCATGCAGTCAGTTGGCTGTAGTAATTCTGGCCTAGGAGAGCAAAACCCTCTCTTTTCTAAGGATGTCGTAAACGACCTTTAAGGATTCATCGGAGAGAATCTGAGAAGAACAGCGTTCTCCGAGTATTATACTAGTATACTGAGATGACTAGGCACTACGATCCTGCTAATTTTTGCAGTAAAGAAGTCATGTGTTCTTTTGAGGATTGAGATAGCCGTTATTCAATACAATTGAGACTTCGATCTCGTGCTTCGGGATGGGTGGCAGCATAAACGTTTTTATGAATATACTAGGTGTTCCAGTCCGCTTCGCTGGTCACTTAAAATTAACATTATTATTTGTCACCTCCACAAAGATTCTCATCATTAACGCCCCCGCAACTGGTGTAGGGAGTCCAACACTCATATAAATATTAGCCTATCCATTGGATTGGATACCTGTTTCAAGTCAATAGAATGCATGGTTCAGTAGTTATAACGGAACATTCGTAAAAAACACTGTAGATTTATATATTGGTATAGATTTAGTTCTGATCGCTTTAAATCTGATAGACTGTGAGCTCGTTCACCCCATCTACGCAATAAATTAAGAAAAGTTATGCTTTTTAAATTCTTTAATTCTGTCGTCGTGGGATTTGCAGGAGAGCTTAGTATCAAGGTCCATATTCAGGTGCGGAGATATTGCATTTTACGCATTAAATA